TTAACTAATACCTTATATTCTTTAATGGATACTGGAATAGCACAGTCGATGAAATATTGGCCTACGCAACCACAGGTTAAGACCCTGTTGTTGGTTGTGTTTTGCTGAAAGTTGAGAAGCAAACAGGTCTGTGTTATCTGGGTTGTGTCACTTGACAAGACACTTTACCCAAATTTCTTTGGATGGCATGTGATGGTCCTCATGTATGTTGTTCATTGGGGTAGCAACCAACAAGGGGATCCCACCTCACAATGATACTGGTTGTTCACAGGGTGATTAACCCAACTATTGATACCAATATTCTTTAACATGATATTCTGTATTTTGTTTAGGGTGTGTCAGAATTTGTGCAAATTGTGGAAGTTGAAATAAACGAGATGTACACATCAAAACAACACCAAATCTTGAGTGTGAATGTGTTTGTCAGTGATGATACTGGACCAGATGGACGCCAAGAATTCTGGGAACCAGACAGAATTACACAGGAACAGGTAGGAAATTACTACAGAATCTATCGTTAAGCTGTTTGAGTTTCATTTTTAATCTTGATTGATTTATTATTGTTTGCAAACATTACCTTCCTTAAAGAAATTATGATAAGAATAAGGTGTACTTTTTACCATCCCATTATTAAAACTTCAGTCTTGTTTAGTAAAAAAATTTGGAAAAAAAATTCATCAACCATTATGGTATTTTCTTACCTTACAACAAGTGATGTTATAAGTTATTCATGAAATCAATTTAAAAACTTTCTTTATTTGTTGATTCTGTCACATTTGTAGTTGGTTAGGATGCAGGAATATTTGTTGTGTATTACATCCAAATATTACAAAATAAACACCAGTACATGTATATACATATTTGGATTTTTTCGATGCTGACAAATCAGAGCGTTTGGAAGTATAATGATTTTATATAAATCTTTGTTAGATAGCTGAATCTCTTTATCTGATTCCTTTAATTAAGATTATGCTGGATTAATGTTATCAATTAAATTAGCTTTAAGATGAATGTTGATGATCTGGTGATTAACAAAGATTTAATTAAGATTAATCTAGAAATTTAACTCAAAGAAGTTTTTTCTTTTTGCTCTGTGATTGTGATTTTTCAAATATGTCTTACCTTGTTCCACTTTTAAACTTGTGAAATAATTTGTTCTCAAGTAAATTGTTCCAGCTCCTAACAATGAAATATTCATTTTGAAGGCCATTTTCTCTGCTGGATATTCAGCACCAAATAGTATGTTTGAAAAACATTCCATGTGAATGAAAAATTTGATTTTTATCTTTTTTTTAATTTCTTTAGGAGATGTTTGAGAAACACCTTACAAGCACAGTACAGGCAAATAAATTTATCAAGATGGAGGTAAAGAGAGTTTTATAGTCTACAGAGGCAAATCCTGCAGATAACTTCCTGGTTAAATGTGATATGGTACATCAGTATCAACAAACAACAATGAGAAAAATACAAATATGTCAGCATAATCACAATCCAAAGTTTAATTCAATAAAACTAGGGCAAAATATGAACAAAAGAAAGATTTACACAGAAACTCCTGAAAAAGTACAAGGAGAATAAGACCAGGTGTTCTCGAAGAGTAAGCGTCTTCTGCTTCATACATGGCACCTTACATTTACATGTAAGATATCATGTAGTGAAATGAATCTACATTGTATTGTTTCTGACATATATTTGAGAAAACAGAAAAGAAAGGGGAAAAAAAGAAAAGAAAAAAGAGAAAAATTAGGAAACCAATGATAGATATTTTGGATGGAAAGTCAATTTTACTTTGCTTGAAATCCAAATCCATTAGTGACTTTTAGAGGAAAATGAAGAAAAAAATTTCTCTTTGTTGGTGTTGGACATGGATGAGAATTATGTACATGGTGGGTTTAAAAGCCTGTTGGTTAAATATGCTGAATTTAATAGAGATGATGATTAAGATGTTACTAGCATCAAGGTTACTGTTAGTGAGTCGTATGTCAAATAAAAAACACAGAAATTTATGAAGTTTGGTTTATATGATTTAAGAGTCTGAACTTTTTACTGTAGACTTTTAATTACAGTGTACATCTGCCAATCTTTTATTTATTTGATGACTTGCTTTTACCTTTACAGTGTGTTTTCCTGCTTGACCCTAACTACCCAAAGTACATCAGGGGTCAAGTTCAGTATGGACTTAACTTTATCACTATTGATGACAACAAAGGGGAGGAAAGGTAAGTAATGTCAAGGTCATCTATATATAGATTAGCTTTTTAAGTGTTGCGCTTTTAGTACATTTTAGGTCAAGGTCAATATCTTGTTATTTTGTGAATCAGCAGTTTAATAGATAATTGTGATATATTGTAATGTTGTGAAAGAGATTTTAATTAAATGATCCTGTAGATTTTAGAAATCAGATGCACACAAATGGAACAAAATTGCTCCGTAACCCCTAAGAAGAAGAAAAAAAAGGTTGAGTAGAGAAAGAGCTTATCAATATGATGATGTATGGACAAGAAGAGATACAGCTGTGGCATGGTTTATCATATTACACTCTAGTCAGCAGTTAAAAATATCATTAATTTTATATTAAAGTGAAATGAAGCAAACTTGTTTGTTTTAACTATTAAAGACAGATGTTTCAGCAAATATGAGTGAGAAAATTAATAAGAAAGTTACCTTAAATCTGCAAGCAGATGTAAGGAAATACAGTAATTTTGTATTACCATAGATATGTATGTAGTTACGTACCATAATTTACAAACTGATTACATATTGCAAACATACATATTTTAGCTATGATATTATTTTAGTGTTTTTGTGCTGCACTCATTGTGCTAAAATATGATTACGCTAATTTCAGTGTCTATTAGTTGCTTATATAGCAATATTTGTGGAAGCACTTATTTATCATCTTGCTAACTTATCACAGATATAATAAAGGTCTAAAATTTGATTGCACCAAATCAGTATAGTAGATCATTGACAGTATGTTGTAAATGCCTTTTCATGTTTGTAATTGTTTGTAATAGAAATTCATATCGGAATCATAACGCCTAACATGAATAATTTAATTGGATAAGAATAACAAATATGTAACAAATTTACATATGTTCTGTTTTTCATAACAATTTGTGTGATGTTTGTTTATAATATCTGTTGCAGTTGGAGAGTGTGGCTACTTTATTGATACAGACTATAACTAACATGGTAATGATTTAAAATTGATTCATATAAAAAAAATAGTTGGTTTAACTTTTTTTCCAGTGTATATTATTCACAACTTGAAGATGTTTTTGCAGTGACAGGTACAATGAATTCAATCATTAAACAATTTCCTTTATGAAACCATTATTTTTTATCAGTCAGCACTTTAAAGGGGTTTTATTCTGTTACTACAGTGCAATGTATTTTGGTGATGTTGACTATGGTAGCTCAAACTTAAGTTTATTTTCACCTGCATAATTTCATGCAATTGAAAAACAGGTTCTTCTTTATTTATTCAGTCTTTTTTTAAATGACTCGAGGTTTACTGTTACTAAATGTCATCGCAGAGCAATTTGTCATTTTTTTTTTAATAAAATCATCAATTAATTACAATGAGGTGTTTGTGGAAAACATTTTGTGTAAAAATCAAGAAACACTATAAATACATATGTTACTGGAACATATGGTGATGTTTGTCATTGCTGTGGACTACAAATGATATATATGCTGGTCGCAGTAATCATATTGATACATATTATAATGAAAATGGTAATTAGTCTACAGCTTTTCTTAGTGTCTGTTTATCTGTCTTCTGTCCAATCAATCTATGCTTCCGTTTGTCCTTCAATCCTAAAACATTTTATTTTGTCTGCATTCGATCTCCTAAACTTTTTGTCACTGGGATTTTATTCCTGGACCATGGATTGATGTAGGTGGGAGTGTGTGATGTAGGTGTTTAATGGTAATACCTCTCCAAAGTGGTGATATTACTTTCTTGTTTGAACTTCAGTGATAGGAAGTTCTAAAAGTAATGATATTACTGATATCATTCACAATCATACCACTAAATGAAATTTAATATTAAAACACCACAGAGTATACGTTGTCTCTAGATGTGGTTTCAAAATGAATCAAAACAAAACGTTAAATTTCAGTAGATTTATTTGCATTAGTAACACAGTATCAACACTATTTCTAACTGAATACAGAGAATCTCTCAGATGTTCAGTGGATAGTGATATGGTCCAGTACATCATCTGTGTATCTGTTGCATGTAATTTCACATTCGTTGATTGTAATTTGACAATTTTTTTTGTCGTTATTTTATAGATTATAATATTTGATATTTTTATTTTATTGATACAGGCTATAATTAACAGTGCAATAAAAGCTATCACTAACAATGTAATGATTTTTATGATACAGACTATAACTAACATCGTAATTTTATACATTTATTTAATAAGTTTCATGTTCACTATTATGGCCATTTGGCCTATCAGTGGATGAGAAAAGATGAAAAAATGAGTAGAAAGGAAATTGTATGAAGCAATTGGGGAACATCATAATGCTTTACAGAGACAATGGTTTAACACATGATGTCTATTTTGTCAGTCCTTCTTTCCATTGCAATTAAAAATCTCTTGTAATGAACAACTGTAATGTTTGACTTTGAGGTCAAGTGATGTATATATCATTATTGACCAAGTCAATGTAGATGTCACAAATGAGGTGTATTTCTTATTTCAAAAAACAACGCTATAAAATCTATAGATTTGAATGATATGGAGGGGACTTAAAAAACAGTGTTATAAAATCAATACATTTTAATAATATGAAACAGAATTTTAAAAAACAGTGTTATAAAATCTGTAGATTTAAATAACATGGGATGGGAGGCTGGGGAGGGACAAACAGTAATATAAACTATTTTGATCAATATTTATATTTCTTTATCAAAAAAGGTAAATAAAAATTACATCCCTTTTGTTTGAACTTTTAGTGTGACAAGTTTCTGTGAGTTTCCCATGGCAACACTACATGAAGGTGTGTTCCTGAATCGAGGTCATGGAGAAGCTTACATGGCACTGTATATGCCATGGCTGGCAGCCCACCAGAAGGACCAAAAAGACAGAGAAAATCTGTTGTGTAAGCATATTGTTAGGAACATTTAAGACATTATGGCAAAGAATTAAAGTTTCCATCATGCTGTATTCGATTATCAAGTTTCTCCCTATCTTGTTTTCAGGGGTTATATTTCTGAACTAATATTACATCAAACTTGATGAAAATGATTCCCTGTTGGAGAAATTTTCTTAGAACCAATGTCCGTCTTAGTTCATATGTGTGTTGTGGTTCATCTGTTAGATTTCAAGAGGAAATCTAGCGATAGAGACCACTTGAAAAATTGTAAACTTTTAAAGAAAAGAAGAGCAATTACTGAAGCCAGGTTTCCATGTAAAATATTCTACTTTCTTCTTGAGCTGGGTGGCACATCACCAGAAAAAATGATGTTTGTTGATGAAACAATACCCCGACATGGGAGGAGTCACAGAGATGGAAAACTTGTCGATCAATCAGCTGGCTGGCAACCAGCTGTTTTAGAAAGTCTGTAATGTTTGGAAATCTGGTTTCAGGAGTTGCTGCTCAGATTTTCAATTTATTATTACATCAGTTTCCAAATCAGTGCATTTAGGACATTATTTTATGTTATTTCTCTGCAATTTACAATTTAACAATATTTTGCTCAAAATAGTTTGTCATGCTTTCTTTCCATTCAAACCTGGCACATCCTTAAATGTCCTTGGCTGTTAATAGGACTTAAAGCAACATTAGACTAAATCAACCTCCAGTCTATTCCATTATTTGTTAATGTTTCTTGTGTTACTTCTTAACCTTATATGTACATAAAGGTAATCAGGTTTAATAAGATTTGTTAATTAGAGTAGATGTAATTTACATCTGTGTCTAAGCAGTTCTTATAGTACCTCAGCTTGTGATTATCAAAATAATATGCTGAAATATACACTAGCATGTGTTTTATGATCATGGAAGGATTGTATTTTTGTTAGTTACCAAGGGCAAACAGTCAAATCAAAATGATGATGAAGATTATATTCTTGAGGACTTGGAGACCAATTCTGCCAGAGAACATGTGTTTGACAGATTCGACCCAATTAAACCTCAAAGGGTGAAGATTGATGGGTTTAGTGGTGCTCGGGAAACCCAGGACAGCCCTTACGCTTCTCATATTATCACACCACTTAGGTAGTGTAACGTTTTATAGTGTAAAGTGTTAGAAATTTAACACTGTAAGTAACATATAGGTAAAGTGGCATTTCAAATATATGAACAATTTATAAACCTGTTATATGGTTATCCTGCCAATTTAATTGACCTCTTGTGACCTCCAAACTCATTAATATGACTTAATATGGCTTTGCTTCATGTTAATTTCAGTCACGTGTATGTAAGTTGTGTATTTATCTCTTTCCTTATTACAGAAATGCAATGTAAATTTAAAAGTGAAACCTCTTAAATGTTTTAATTACCTAATAAAATCCAATTTCAGTTAAAGAAGACTACACTGTTAATTGTAAACTGTGCCTTTGGTTTTAAAGAAATTCAAATTCTCTGTAAGTTACCTGTTTTATCCATCTGGTCAGATCCATGTTGGAGATGAGAGCAGCCACAGAAAGTGTGAAGATGGCAACCACTGTAGAGGCATGTTACACCTCAATTCTGCTGCTGCTGCTGAAAAACAGGTAACCATGCTCACATGATATATAAAACAGGTGTGATTTGAATTCATGATTAAATCTCCTTGCATATTAATGCAAAAATTAATTCCAAACAAAATATAAGTGATTTACAATAATTTGTTTACTGGGTATATAACCCCAAAAACAATCAGACAGGGGCTCCATATAGTAGCAGGTCAGCCTCCTCATCCGCGTAATAACTTACACCAGTGTGGCTATGTGTGCTGTGTTGTATCTGGTGCATGAAGGGAATCATATCTTAAACATCATATGACAGTATCTTCATATCTTATCTGTAGGAATGAAAATGACAAGAAATTAGAAAAGGAGATTTATCGATTCTTGCATGGAACTGCTGGACGGGTGTATGAACTGATGGAAAAGAATAAAAGTGTTCGATACATTATCAAAGGCTTTGCTAATGTAAGTAGATTTCATACAATAGTGCAAATTTGATAATCAAACATTTAAATATAAGATATTCTGAGAAAACAATATTCTATTTAGTCATGACTGATTTCTTTTTGATTATTGTATTGGCTCTCGGGGAAGTGTTTGGGAGTGTGTATATTGAACATATAAAAACTATGGGGAAGTTATCCTAAGGGATGAGTATACCAATAGATAGGACTAACATATTGTGGAAACAGTAACATAAAGTTATATTACTTGATGCCAACTAAACTTTGTTTGTTTAAAAAGATTGTTTAGTCTGTTATCAGTACATATGACTAAATATTGTTGGAAGATAAGCTGTAACAATTACTGATTTTTTTTTCTTTTTGAACGAAACATTTATTTTCCACCAAAAATTATGTCCATGAAGGAGTATTATATTGAAAAAACATAAAAAATGAGCCCCTTTTAAATTAGGACATTATACTTATGTAAAGTTAACCAGGTCATTTTGTTTATTTTCAGACAAAAGAAGTTGGAGTAATACGTGAACATCTGATCGCATACAGAGATGCCATACTGAGTCTGTTTGATAGTAGTCTGTAAGTACAGGGATGTCATACTGAGTCTGTTTGATAGTAGTCTGTAAGTACAGGGATGTCATACTGAGTCTGTTTGATAGTAGTCTGTAAGTACAGGGATGTCATACTGAGTCTGTTTGATAGTAGTCTGTAAGTACAGGGATGTCATACTGAGTCTGTTTGATAGTAGTCTGTAAGTACAGGGATGTCATACTGAGTCTGTTTGATAGTCTGTAAGTACAGGGATGTCATACTGAGTCTGTTTGATAGTAGTCTGTAAGTACAGGGATGTCATACTGAGTCTGTTTGATAGTCTGTAAGTACAGGGATGTCATACTGAGTCTGTTTGATAGTAGTCTGTAAGTACAGGGATGTCATACTGAGTCTGTTTGATAGTCTGTAAGTACAGGGATGTCATACTGAGTCTGTTTGATAGTAGTCTGTAAGTACAGGGATGTCATACTGAGTCTGTTTACAGGGATAGTAGTCTGTAAGTCTGTACAGGGATGTCATACTGAGTCTGTTTGATAGTAGTCTGTAAGTACAGGGATGTCATACTGAGTCTGTTTGATAGTAGTCTGTAAGTACAGGGATGTCTGATACTACAGTACAGGGATGAGTCTGTTTGATAGTAGTCTGTAAGTACAGGGATGTCATACTGAGTCTGTTTGATAGTAGTCTGTAAGTACAGGGATGTCATTCTGAGTCTGTTTGATAGTCTGTAAGTACAGGGATGTCATACTGAGTCTGTTTGATAGTCTGTAAGTACAGGGATGTCATACTGAGTCTGTTTGATAGTAGTCAGTAAGTACAGGGATGTCATACTGAGTCTGTTTGATAGTAGTCTGTACAGGGATGTACAGTCTGTTTGATGTCAGTACAGGGATGGTCTGTTTGATAGTCTGTAAGTACAGGGATGTCATACTGAGTCTGTTTGATACAGGGATGTAGTCTGTGATAGTACAGGATGATGTCATACTGTAAGTACAGGGATGTTTGATAGTAGTCTGTAAGTACAGGGATGTCATACTGAGTCTGTTTGATAGTAGTCTGTAAGTACAGGGATGTCATACTGAGTCTGTTTGATAGTGTTAAGTGATAGTCTGTAAGTACAGGGATGTCATACTGAGTCTGTTTGATAGTAGTCTGTAAGTACAGGGATGTCATACTGAGTCTGTTTGATAGTAGTCTGTAAGTACAGGGATGTCATACTGAGTCTGTTTGATAGTAGTCTGTAAGTACAGGGATGTCATACTGAGTCTGTTTGATAGTAGTCTGTAAGTACAGGGATGTCATACTGAGTCTGTTTGATAGTAGTCTGTAAGTACAGGGATGTCATACTGAGTCTGTTTGATAGTCTGTAAGTACAGGGATGTCATACTGAGTAGTCTGTAAGTACAGGGATGTCATACTGAGTCTGTTTGATAGTAGTCTGTAAGTACAGGGATGTCATACTGAGTCTGTTTGATAGTAGTCTGTAAGTACAGGGATGTCATACTGAGTCTGTTTGTAAGTACAGGGATGTCATACTAGTCTGTAAGTACAGGGATGTCATACTGAGTCTGTTACAGGGATGATAGTAGTCTGTAAGTACAGGGATGTCATACTGAGTCTGGAGTCTGTAAGTACAGGGATGTCATACTGAGTCTGTTTGATAGTAGTCAGTAAGTACAGAGATGTCATACTGAGTCTGTTTGATAGTAGTCTGTAAGTACAGGGATGTCATACTGAGTCTGTCTGTAAGTACAGGGATGTCTGTAAGTACAGGGATGTCATACTGAGTCTGTTTGATAGTAGTCTGTAAGTACAGGGATGTCATACTGAGTCTGTTTGATAGTAGTCTGTAAGTACAGGGATGTCATACTGAGTCTGTTTGTAAGTACAGGGATGTAGTAGTCTGTAAGTACAGGGATGTCATACTGAGTCTGTTTGATAGATAGTCTAGTCTGTAAGTACAGGGATGTCATACTGAGTCTGGATGTAGTCTGTAATACAGGGATGAGTCTGTTTGATAGTAGTCTGTAAGTACAGGGATGTCATACTGAGTCTGTTTGATAGTAGTCTGTAAGTACAGGGATGTCATACTGAGTCTGAGTAGTCTGTAAGTACAGGGATCTGTTAGTCTGTAAGTGAGTCTGTTTGATAGTCTGTAAGTACAGGGATGTCATACTGAGTCTGTTTGATAGTCTGTAAGTACAGGGATGTCATACTGAGTCTGTTTGATAGTAGTCTGTAAGTACAGGGATGTCATACTGAGTCTGTTTGATAGTAGTCTGTAAGTACAGGGATGTCATACTGAGTCTGTTTGATAGTAGTCTGTAAGTACAGGGATGTCATACTGAGTCTGTTTGATAGTAGTCTGTTAGTACTGGGATGTCATACTGAGTCTGTTTGATTGTAGTCTGTAAGTACAGGGATGTCATACTGAGTCTGTTTGATAGTAGTCTGTAAGTACAGGGATGTCATACTGAGTCTGTTTGTAAGTACAGGGATGGATGTTGATACTAGTCTGTAAGTCTGTACAGGGATGTCATACTGAGTCTGTTTGATATAGTCTGTAAGTACAGGGATGTCATACTGAGTCTGTTTGATAGTCTGTAAGTACAGGGATGTCATACTGAAGTACAGGGATGTCATACTGAGTCTGTTTGATAGTCTGTAAGTACAGGGATGTCATACTGAGTCTGTTTGATAGTAGTCTGTAAGTACAGGGATGTCATACTGAGTCTGTTTGATAGTAGTCTGTTTGATTGTCTGTAAGTACAGGGATGTCATACTGAGTCTGTTTGATAGTAGTAGTCTGTAATGTCATACTGAGTTGGAAGTACTCTCATTACACGATGATTCTGTTTGATAGTCTGTAAGTACAGGGATGTCATACTGAGTCTGTTTGATAGTCTGAAAGTACAGGGATGTCATACTGAGTCTGTTTGATAGTCTGTAAGTACAGGGATGTCATACTGAGTCTGTTTGATAGTCTGTAAGTACAGGGATGTCATACTGAGTCTGTTTGATAGTCTGTAAGTACAGGGATGTCATACTGAGTCTGTTTGATAGTCTGTAAGTGCAGGGATGTCATACTGAGTCTGTTTGATAGTCTGTAAGTACAGGGATGTCATACTGAGTCTGTTTGATAGTAGTCTGTAAGTACAGGGATGTCATACTGAGTCTGTTTGATAGTCTGTTTGATAGTAGTCTGTAAGTACAGGGATGTCATACTGAGTCTGTTTGATAGTAGTCTGTAAGTACAGGGATGTCATACTGAGTCTGTTTGATAGTAGTCTGTAAGTACAGGGATGTCATACTGAGTCTGTTTGATAGTAGTCTGTAAGTACAGGGATGTCATACTGAGTCTGTTTGATAGTCTGTAAGTACAGGGATGTCATACTGAGTCTGTTTGATAGTCTGTAAGTACAGGGATGTCATACTGAGTCTGTTTGATAGTAGTCTGTAAGTACAGGGATGTCATACTGAGTCTGTTTGATAGTCTGTAAGTACAGGGATGTCATACTGAGTCTGTTTGATAGTAGTCTGTAAGTACAGGGATGTCATACTAAGTCTGTTTTATAGTGTTTAATTTTAAGCTGTAAAACATTAGTTCATTAAAAGTCAGGAATTTTGATATAAATATATGCAATGATATCTCACATTTATTGTGTTGTCTGCAGAGCTGGCGAACACTTAGGGATCACTTTGTCCGTCGTCATGCATTGGCGGCAGAGTCCGCGTATGCATTTCCGTACAAAAGTTTTCCAGACTTTTTTTGGTAATGCCTTGAGTTATCCAAATGAAATTTAGTATATGGCTTCTTGATTAAGTTTGATTCCTTGTGGTCTCTAACCCTGCTTGGCAGAGTTATGCCCCTTTGAACTTAGAAAATTCTCTGGGAATATTGTTTTCTGGACTTTCTTTGCTTATGCTTTGAGTTATAGAAATGAAATTTGGTATATGGCTTCTTGTTGGAAGGGTACAGATGAATTTTCATTCTAGGTTGTCTGTGACCCTTCTTTGCAGAGTTATGCTTCTTCGAAAATTCTTCGAGAATATGGAAAATTTTCTTGGTTATGCTTCAAGTTATCAGAATGCAATTTTGTACATGAGTTTTTGATCAAAAGTTATGCACCGAGTTGGCTTCTTGGCAATCTGTAACCATTCTTGGCTGAGTTATGCCCCTTTGAACTTGGAAAATTTCTCAGGAATATTGCTTTTCACAGTTTTCCCTTTATGCTTCGAGTTATAGAAATGAAATTTGGTATTACAACTTTATGGTTGAACGTTGCACTTCCAGTTCAATTTCTGGGTGACTGTGACACTTTATGCAGGCGACACATACAGTTCCAAGGAACTCTTGTATCACTTTTTATACATTTTTCAGATGGTTACATTTTTACATAGTGCTTTTATATCAAATGATCAAATATTCTCTCATTTCCCATTCTAGCTCTGTTACATGTACATTGCTATCTTTCAGGAATGTGCGTAGCAGTGAGTATATCACAGCAGGCCGAGCAATGGCTGCCCAGGTGGAGGATTTGATACCAGAAAAAAGCAGTCTGTTTGCTTCTCATACTGAAACAGTAAGCTATTAGATTATCAGCCATCATCGGCATCTGATTGATCAATTAGAAAAAAAAAATGTATTTAGAGACAGGAGTGTTCTCAATTTCATTCTTCAGCTATATTTGGGTAGAATATTTGCTGACCTTGTCTTGAAAAGTTGAGTTTCTTACCATTAAATAAATGTTGCTGGTGCATTTTATTTTGTCATCTCATTTCCAGCAATTTTGATTTTGTTTGTTTTACCCTGTATTGAATTTGTATCTATAATTCTTTTTTGATGTCATAATCATAATAGAATATTCAAACATTTGAAAAGATTGAAATTTCAGATCAAATTAACTTATAAAATTTTTCACTTGGATAAAACTTTAAGCTTTTTTATCATTTTGAAATAACTTGTGGTTACCCCAAAAATACTGAATTAATCCTTATTTTGATATTAGCAAGGAAAAGATTGAAGTTATTTGATAAATATTTGCAAGGAAAGATAACTCGGATATTGTTTTATGAGAATTTGCTGTTCTGTTTCAGGCGCTGCAGACTCTGAGCAGTTTAAACTGGTACTGCCAAGCATTACTAATACAAGTGGTCGGGGACATCTTGCCTGAGCTACCTGTTTTACAGGTGTGTTATGTGATATATTGTTATGCCTTTGACATTTTGTCGGCTCGCACATAGTGTTACCCATGTTAATTGTGTTTTGTTGTGTCCTATTCTGAATCAGTGTCACATCAACATATTTAGTTCATACTTACCCCATATCATAATATAAAGTTCTACACCTTGTCTGAATGAGGAGGTCATCGGCCAAGGTGAAGAGTCAAAGGTCAGCTTTGATAACATCTACAAATTCATCCACCAATTATAAATATATACTATTGCAATAGCATATTGTACTAGCTGTTTATATTTGCTGAAGGTACCAGGATTAATTTTTTTGCAGACCATTTGTCTTTCTGTTTTCAAAACTTTACCCGAGTCTGACCTGAAGTATGACTCTGTACATTAATTGATATATTTTTCAGACCTACTTGGAGAATATTCGCTTGGAATCATCGGACGATGGTAGAGTGGCAATGAGATTTCGAGACAGACCAGATGCTTTGGTGTGTATACGTATTAAGGGTGCCTCCAGGTATCTTGGAGAAAGTCTTATAAAGAAAATCTGTTTAAATGTGTGTAGTCTATAGCTCTTAAACAATTAGTTCAATGTAGCCATTTGAAATAAATAATTTTTTGTCTGAATACCTTATATTTTTGTCCAACTATTATTTATAGTTTAAGTATCACAACAGCTTATTGTTGAATATAAACAACTGAATTGGTATTTATTTTATGGTGTTTGAAAGTTAAATGAAATATTTGTTTTGTCCTAGGGGAAAAATATTGACCTAAGTGACATCGTTCATGGTCAAGAGAGTGAGAGGATACAAAACCATGAGCTGTATGGTGAGTGAACTAAAGTACTGAAAAACACTCTGTCTATGTAGGCGAGTGTGAGAAGGTTATAGACGTCAGAGATCTACCACTATATATATGGTCTGGTTTTGATTTTCTGTTATTCTGTATATATGTTGGGTATTGTGTCTTATGTGACATATAGGTACTAGTAATTATGTGTGATGCAAATTTGGCAAATTTATTCTAAATCTGTTTTCTATGTCCAAGCATTTAATTGAGAGACCTGTAGTATTTTATGTTCCTATGTTAGTCCATCCCGTCATGATGCATCCAGTTCCAAATCAATGTCCTATCCTCAAGAATCTTTTCACAGATTCTGTTAATGTTTATGCCTTAAAGGGCCAGGGATAGCTCTGTTTCTATAACACTGACCTGCATTGCCTCATACACAGGTGCATGGTTTGGTACTCCCTACCATTAACGGTTTGTGTTTCTTAAGGTAGCTAAAGAATGAATGGTCTGTAATGTTGTCCTTGTGTCCTTGGAAAAGACTATTTCTCCATAATTGCTCTATATGGCATGCAATGGGTCTCCTGTATGTTATTCAGTTAGGTAGCCACCAGTTACTACAAGGAGACCCCATCTATAAATGGCCATGGCTGTTGATGGGACAATAATTAAACTCAGCAAATCTACACCTTATAGATTTAAAGTAGTCATAGGAAAAGGTCTAAGGGTCAAAGGTTACATTTGATAACATTTACAAATCTATCAATGATACCTATATGCATATGAGTGTGGGCATCAATGTCTTATAGTCTCTCTCCTAATTTATAATGAGTCACGTCTTGTTTATCATTATGATTTACATTGCAACAGAGGAATGATTGTCATAGGTCAAAACAGTTCAATCAGCATTGTATTATACATTGTACTTTGTTTTGCATTGTTGTTAACAAAAATAATATAGCTAGTCATGCAACGGTGATTTTGTCAACAATACTTTATATTGTTTTAACATTATACTTAAACAGAGAGTATAATCAAGAAACTATAAAAATGATGCGTGTTAAAATACCTACTTTTTAAGCTACTTTTTAAAAAAGTGATAAGCGACCTTTCATTGGATGTTGTATGCTCTGACAGAACAGCCTGACAGCTGATGGAATAGCAAAAAAGCTGATTCAGTTTTGGCTAGAAAGGTTGTCAGACTTGACATTTAGGGAAGTGTAACCATCACTTTTGTTGGTGAGGCCAGATGGAGAATACAACCTGTAAATATTTATATTTATAAGGCATTGGTTCATCATAAATGAGAGTGAAAGAAATGGAATATACAGAGCCATAAATGACAATGATCACATGACATAGCTAGTTAAAAAATGTTATATGCTGTCTTTTGCAGTGATTGATGTTGCTGCCAACATGGAAGAAAACTTATCTGTATCAAAACTCATAGCCAGGGATTCTGTTCTCTTAAAGGTAACACACTGATTCAAAAAAGGAAAACCAATATTTGTTGTTTATTGTTTAAAGTGTGAGTTTTTTCTTTTGACTTTAATTTTAAGTCAACTTGCAACTGGTTTGGTCAATAGATTTGTCTTACTAGTACAAGAAAAAGTGTTTGTTTTTCAACTGTTATGAAGAACCTGATTGGCAAGTAAATGTAACAGTTTGCCACCTGTTACAAGGAACCTGATTGGCTGATGGGTATAGTATATCACCTGTTATGGAGAACCTGATTTTGAATTAAAGTATCACTTTGTCACCTGCTACAAGAAGCCTGATTGGTGAGTAAATGTATCAGTTTTCCACATGTTACAAGGAACCTGATTGGCTGATAAGTCTTAGAAATCACCTGTTACGAAGAACCTGATTAGCATGTAAGTGATAGTTTGTTGTTTGTTACAAACAACCTGATTGGCTAGTAATTTGTTATTAATGAAAAGGGACCTGCATTGAATGGGAATATGACTGGTAAATATAAATGTAAACTTTACCGCAGTATTTGTTTTAGAACAATTGCCAATCAAGGGCTAAGTCTATATTGATCTTTCCTGTATATCCGGATGGATGCTTGGTCTCTGACTTTGGAAGGAAAATTTCAACTGTTTCTGTTTCAGTATGTGGTGGATACTCACCTCGACATGGTCTGGTATGACTTCCTTGTGGACATATCAACTAATGACCACTTCCCCCCGAACCCTTACCCTCACTTCCTGTCCGTGCTGCGGAGGTCAGCTTTCAAGTATGTAGGATTTCTTTATGATCATGTTCCTTGATCTATTCAATCTGTGTTTTTGTCTGACACATATATCATATTATGACATCATCATATGAAGTCATCAATGGAATATTTTTGTGTAAGTCACTAGTTTGATATACTGTTGAGTGTTTCTCATTGGCTGCACCAGTCAGCAATACAAATGATAGCAAAGATATGGACAAAGGCATTGCATTATGAATTAAAAATGATGCAATGAAGTGGCTGCCTTGCTTGATATTGTCCTTCACTATTTGACTTTTAAACTTGTCAGAATATAATTTTTTTGAGTTAGTGATAAAAAATTTATGAAGTTTGTTTTCATTCCATATTGTCATTTTCTAAAAACTCAACTCAAAGTGAAAGTTTTGTTAACCAAGGCTTTCAAAATAAAAATGTTTATGTACTTGTTTTATGAAGTTCTTAATTACTCATTCAAGATTTTGGATCATCTTGTCCTTTGAATAGATTTGCAACAAAAATCATTGCAGTAAAATAACGGGACAATAAGGTTAGTTGTGGTTAAATAACAGTGATAGATTTTCAATGACTCAATTGATGCGACTAGATAGTAGGGAAGTAGTGATCACTGAATAAATGGAATTAGAGGTAGCTTTTTAACAGTCTTAGTAATAACGAAACACTAGTCATATTGCCTAGAGAGAAAAATTCCAACATGTTCCACAAAGTATCAGATTGATAGCTAGAATAACAGTTTTTCAGTAGCTTTATTAAAAAGACTTGAAAACCCAGGCTTTATATTGCTGAATTCTGTGTTGAAGGATGGACCTGTTTTTTGAGAGAACAAATGCCATTACTGAGAGAATGTGGTCAGCTGAGAACATGAAACCAGAGGACTGGGACACTTTTGTGTTCCATATTCCTGGTGTTGACTGTCATGGTGAGGTGTTCCTTGTTCTCATTAACCTTCCTGATCAGGCCACAGAAACACTTTCACTTTATTTGCAAGTTAACGAATCAATAATTGTATTTTTTATATAGTTTCTACCTAGTTGAAGAATCAAGACCAAATGTCACAAGATCAAATATTATTCTCAACTAAATTTTTCTGAACAACCCAGATTCTCTTCAGTATATTTGCCCATTAGCATGCTGGGATGAAGAATTATAAAGTTTGTTCAAAAGATTAACTTTCACCCTCTTCCAAGGTCACTTTGGCCAAAGGTATCTAAATCTTCTGACACACTTCCTTTAAGTAACCAAGAGGTTCAGGATTATATTTAAGTCAGTGGCATGGAGGGATGATTTAGGGCTGTCAGATTTGATTAGGCTATCAACAAAGTCTTTTCGTCTGTTAAAGCTAGTTGTAGAATAATACTCCTTTCTAAGAAAAGTTATATTTTAATGAAAAATCCTTTTCTAAAGAAAATTCCTATTTTAGTGAAATATCCTATTCTAATGAAAAGTCCTATTTTGATTAGAAGTCCTGTTTTAATGAAAAGTGTTAATTGAATGAAACATGCTTTTCTTATTATCAGTTGAGTAAACCAGGCCAATATTTATTTCAGATTTGTGACACAAAAACTGACATTAAATATTGTTTGCTGAAACTCTACCAACCCTGAACACAAGCCTTACTCAAAATATTTGATTTAGATTTATATCTTTTTTAAATGGACCATCATAGTTCAGTCCATAAAGTGTTTGCCTACATACCATCAGGTGAAAACCAAGGTGCATGGTTCAACAGTCTCTATATATGGCAGTTTGTATTTCTCAGGAAGCTGAGAAACACACTGGTTTATATTGTTTTTGTTGTGTCCTTGAGTCAGACACATTACCTGAGGTTGTCATTAGATACTACAAGGAGACTCAAGGTCACTAGCTCTTCATGGGGGTTATACAAAGCCTAGCAAACAAACAAGCAATTTTTTATTGATGTTGTCCTCAATTTTGTATTTGTAAGTAAAACATACAATCACATCTTTCTTTTCTAATTCTAAAGATTTCAAAATGTTATGGTCTGATTGACTGATATAAAAATGCATTATTATTTATCAAACCAAGCCAGTAAGATGTAAAGACATAACTGTCATGGTTTTATGAAAATATTTTTTTTTAAATTGAGTAGGTTGTGCTGATTAAAACTGCCCAATAAAAATAATATTGAATTATAACAGGATGTCCTACAGCTCTTATTGTATTGGATACTGGAGTGTATGTACCTCTCAGTGAAGCCATCAAAGCATTCCAACAGACTCAATTTACACACACCAAAGGACCCTACCGTGTGAGTATACATCCAGCTTGTGTACCATGAAAACTTCATGTAGATGGAAAAATTTCTTACAGACTCGAAAAATGCATGATCACAAATCCTTCAAAACATGTATATTTGCATATAATTCAAGAATTCAGAAACTTTAATATTTTAGAAATATGTGTAATATCAAAATCTTACAATTAAAATGCCAGCATTTTTTTGTTTTTTTTTTTCTTTTTGCCTGAAAAAGCTAACGCCTTAGAACTGCATTAAATTCTGAAACCGTTTTCGTAAAATTTTATTCATACCTTAGTGTTTCATATAAATTGTTGATTGGGTGTGCAATCGTGTATGACCTTACGTATTCAGAACCTTGCCTAATCAGTGGACCCGAATAAATGTTCATATGTTTCCGTCCACATATCGTTTGAAAAAAATCATTTATAACTACATCTGTATACTTTCTTATCAATAACTCTGATGATTACAAATGTTTTATGCAATTTTTTTTTTCAAATATTGATTATAATCATAGTATTTGGCAATGAAATGCTGAAGATATACCTGGTTTCCATTAAATGACTTTAGAGAGACCTCAATCCTTCACAGTATTTCTCCTTAGTATATTGGTACTCGTTTATATAACTAAGTAGACTTTAGCAATGCAGAAAAAAGGAGAAAATAACATTTGCAAAATGAATGTCTGTGGAGACTCCTGAACTACCCATCATGTTCTTAAATTTTTTCTGAATGAAAAAAAAGTTGTGATGGATTTATTACTCCACCAGGTGGCAATCTGTATGGCACTGTCTGGTTCCAGTATTCTCTATGGGAAGATGCAGCCGTACCTGAATGAGATTGAACTGCACGAGCACATCTATATCCAGGGACCACGAGGACATGAAAGGAATGCAGTCAATATGTTTGTCTCCATAGGTATGGTACTTCTGTTACATGGTACTTCTGTTACATACATAAAGCCTGTGCCTGGTAATAAGCCCTCCCACATCGGTTGCAGTTCAAATTAGAAAATTAACGAATTCAATGTTGTCACTCTGTATAAAAATTCATCTTCCCAGTGGAAGATAGTAGTGGTGTATGCTCCCGTTCCTCCCCCACCAGAGTTTGAATTAGGAATGATGTGTTAAATACTCGAAGTACAAATACCTGTATTGTTTCAGTGTACAAACATGTTCTACAGCTGATTAAGGAGGGGAAGATCCCTGTGTCTGGGATCTACCTTGGTGATGGACAGGTCCGCTGGTCCTGGGAAGATCTTCAGGACAACAAAGAAGATTTTGAGGAGGAATGTCAATATGTCTGCTTTAGCAAAGGGGCAGTTGTTTTGAAGGTAAAGATTTTAAAAATATTTACTTCCAAAGCCCGAGATATTATTTTCACAGTTTTCTACTCCTGTTGCTTTTATTGTCCAAAATGGTGTTCTATGTATCTATTCAGGCAATAAGCCCATACCAGATAATAAGCCCATACCTGGTAATGAGCCCATACCAGGTAATAAGCCCATACCAGATAATAAGCCCATACCTGGTAATGAGCCTATACCAGGTAATAAGCCCATACCTGGTAATAAGCCCATATCTGGTAATAAGCCTTCACCTGTCTATTGCAATTTCAGTAGATGTACCAATATATCATTACTGATGTCATTGTCTTGTAGTAATAATTTCACCTCCCTATTTTCAGTCAGGGTTTTTGTGATAACCCTCTAGTGGGTTACACTATAGATAGCACATAATGTATCCCAAGTAAGATATATTGTAGGATTGAAGTCTTTGTTGGAAGGGGAAGGCCAGGTATAGGATTTTTCATTATCATATTTGACCAAACATGTTAAGGATACTTTGTTAAATTTCGTTGGTCCAAATTTGAATATTTTTTCTCAGTGATATTGATTGAATGAACAAGAACAATGAAATGTATATTTTTCATGAAAATAGTTTAAAGTTTTTTTCATTTACATTTCAAAATGTAAAATTGTTAAGAGAGGAGAGAGTTTTTTCCCCATTTTAAACATTTTCTAAACTCCAAGAAGTGAAGATTATTCCCCAACATTTCATCGGGAGAAATATAATGGATTATTTGTCCATCCCAATGGGTCCTAATTCAATGACATCTTTGCGTGAAGCCACTGAATCGATAATTATCATATAAATAGATACAAAACCAAATATGAGATAACTCTGAATCTTTGATTTTTATGTTAAATTTATTTTCATCATTTCATGGCTATGCTTTATTAATGACTTCATTTCTCAATGAACTTATAATAAGTATAAATGGACTTATTAAGCTATATCTATCCAAGCAATTAAGTGTCTGGGAAAAAGTAATGTTTTGAAAAACCACAAAAATTGATCCCAATGAAGTTAATGTGACTTTACTGAACCTTTGATGTGTTTCCTTGGTGAAGATTTAAAGATGTAAGTGTATCTCATTTTCAGGCTTTTGTATTGATGGACAAATGGAGATATGTACCTGTTCGAAAATTCTTTCTTCTACATTACCTCTCAGACGATTCCCCAGAGTAAGTATTCACAAGTACTTACTACAGCATTACCTCTCAGGGGATTCCCCAGAGTAAGTGTTCACAAGTCCTTACTTCAGCATTACCTCTCAGACGATTCCCCAGAGTAAGTATTCACAAGTACTTACTACAGCATTACCTCTCAGACGATTCCCCAGAGTAAGTGTTTACAAATACTTACTACAGCATTACCTCTCAGGGGATTCCCCAGAGTAAGTATTCACAAGTACTTACTACAGCATTACCTCTCAGACGATTCCCCAGAGTAAGTGTTCACAAGTACTTACTACAGCATTACCTCTCAGACGATTCCCCAGAGTAAGTGTTCATAAGTCCTTAATACAGCTTTACCTCTAAGGAGATTCCCCAGAGTAAGTGTTCATAAGTACTTACTACAGCCTTACCTCTCAGACGATTCCCCAGAGTAAGTGTTCATAAGTACTTACTACAGCATTATCTCTCAGACGATTCACCAGAGTAAGTATTCACAATAACATGCTACAGCATTACCTCTCAGGGGATTCCCCAGAGTAAGTGTTCACAAGTACTTACTACAGCATTACCTCTCAGACGATTCCCCAGAGTAAGTGTTCACAAGTACTTACTACAGCATAACCTCTCAGGGGATTCCCCAGAGTAAGTGTTCACAAGTACTTACTACAGCATTACCTCTCAGGGGATTCCCCAGAGTAAGTGTTCACAAGTACTTACTACAGCATTACCTCTCAGGGGATTCCCCAGAGTAAGTGTTCACAAGTACTTACTACAGCATAACCTCTCAGGGGATTCCCCAGAGTAAGTGTTCACAAGTACTTACTACAGCATTACATCTCAGGGGATTCCCCAGAGTAAGTGTTCACAAGTACTTACTACAGATTCCCCAGAGTAAGTGTTCACAAGTACTTACTACAGCATTACCTCTCAGGGTATTCCCCAGAGTAAGTGTTCACAAGTACTTACTACAGCATTACCTCTCGGACGATTCCCCAGAGTAAGTGTTCACAAGTACTTACTACAGCATTACCTCTCGGGGTATTCCCCAGAGTAAGTGTTTCACACTGGTGAAACATCCTTTAAATGACCTTTGACAGTGTCATTAACCCAAGAAACATCATGGTGAAAATCTTAAAATCGTGACTTTCATGGGCATGACAAAAAAATAAATGTTGAAATTCCTCATGAAAATTTCAAGATTTCATTGACAAAGAGCTTTGTTATATTTGCAACAGAAAAGATAAATGAAAACTATCACTCCTGTGTAATGTAGACAGAGAATCCTCAGTGTTTCAAGTACAATTATTGATGGTGAAATTGAAGTTATTGGATTGTGACATAGATAAGCTATATGAAATGATGATGCAACCTTGTGATATTTTCAGAAAAGAAATGAGCTTGTATCAACTGTCTTTCACTTGACATATTAATCGTTTCTTGTGGAAAAATTAAGAAAACACTCAGGAAATGTAGTAGATTAATCTAGCTTTGTGTAACCCTGAGTGAGGCTGGTCCCATGTGTGTATGAATGCCTTTTTTATGAAAAATATGCACCTATCACAATAGAAATGAGTCTTTCTGTTACTTTTAGCCTAATTTCTTAGAAAGGTGATCAGAAAAGTCATCGAATCAGTAAAGTCAAATTATCAAAACAAAAAGCATGTTTTGAATGTTGAGTTTAAAATTGGAAGGCTTTGATAAATGACAAATTCTCTTTACCAAAATAGCAAATTAACATGAAATTTTGTGCATAACTTTAAAAATGGTGAAATTGTTGCATGCTTAAAACTGATTTTTGGTTGTCATGATGAAAATTGATTATATATATATATATATATATATATATATATTAGGCATTTTGGACTTTGTAATTGAATGAAAATAATCAATTGTTTGATAATTCTGTCTTATCCATTGTAAGATTTATAGGTAAACCACTTTTCTTTTCCAGGGGTGAGCTTTTCTATGTAAATAGACCTTTGGACTTTTACCAGAGCATTTTCATGGAAAAAGACAGAGTATGTATTTCCCATTACTATGGCAAGGAAAACTGAATTTTTTTCATTAGGGACACTAAACAGTATTTCTAACAAGAAAACTGGCGTTGAGATATGGGATAGTCTGTGAATATGATGTCACCATCTGAAGGCGTATATATCCTGTGTCTTACCTACAAGTCAATATATCTTAGATGTACATCTATCAGTGATGATGTACCGACTATTCCGCCAATGGTAGCCTTTGTCTGGTCAGGTAATAAATAATCCCACCAAGATCTGTAACAGGGTTAATTTAGAAAAACTATAAAATATCAGGTATTCAGGTATTAAGGCCATATATGGGAATACTTTGAGATTTAAGAATTATTTGTTATTCTAAATAGATAATGAAATCAAAATAAACATCCATTATATATTTATCAGGTGGTAGGTCCATGCTTGGTAATAAGCCCAGGAAACTGTTCAGTGTGCTTACCAACGGATGCTATTTCATTGGTCTATCATAAGCCAACCACTTGACTTTACTTACAAAAAGGTAATGTGTTAATCCTATTCATATTGTAGGATAATTATCGTATGTATGTATGACTGTTTTTAGGCTGCCTTCCACTACCAAAACGGTGGTACCAGGAATGGGGGTGACCCTATGAGTGGAGCTAATGTGCGGGCAGCTCAACGGTCACTGGAGACCTTGCTCCTTGATGGTCAGCGACGATGTGACTGGCTCAATGTCCACAGAGGTCTGCTGATTAGAAGCTTACTTAATGAGGTGAGTCAATATTTGTTATTGTTTTGGGGATGTGAAGATTAATTTCCAATACATCTTTCTCTGTACATGGATTGACCAAGATTTACATGGCTGGTGTTGGTGATGAAGCACCAGATACTTACTTTTTGTCTTATTCTTTTTGTATTTTTTAAGGAATTTGAGTTTAAATGAAGATTCTGTTGACATGTTACATTCAGATCACCTGGTTTAAGGACTGTTTAGCTTATGCTATGACCTGGTATCTGTTGTCAAACTCTCGTCCAGCGTCTAGTGTCTGTTATCTGGAGTTTGTCATTTTTTACCTAAAAATTGCTACTAGTCATGAATGACTGGACAGATTTTGGTTAAAGTTGGCCAGAAGCATCGTAGATTATATAAATATTGGTTCTTGGCCCCCAGTGCTCCCTTAGGTGATAAAGAGTAAATCTTGCATAAACATTTACACTGGACCTTGGTCTCCTTTGGCAGAAGGGGCCCAAATGGGGTAGGGTGTGTTATAATTAGCTGTAGGGTGTGGTATTGTTAGCTGTGTGGTATTGTTAACTGTAGAGTGTAGTATTGTTAGCTGTAGGGTGTGGTATTGTTAGCTGTAGGGTGTGGTATTGTTAACTGTAGGGTGTGGTATTGTTAACTGTATGGTGTGGTATTGTTACCTGTAGGGTGTGGATTGTTAACTGTAGGGTGTGGTATTGTTAGCTGTAGGGTGTGGTATTGTTAACTGTAGGGTGTGGTAGGGTGTGGTATTGTTAGTTGTCGGGTGTGGTATTGTAAGCAGTAGGGTGTGGTGTTAGCTGTAGGGAGTGGTATTGTTAGCTGTAGGGTGTGGTATTTTTTGCTGTAGGGTGGGTATTGTTAGCTGTAGGGTGTGGTATTGTTAGCTGTAGGGTGTGGTATAGTTAGCTGTAGGGTGTGGTATTGTTAGCTGTAGGGTGTGGTATAGTTAGCTGTAGGGTGTGGTATTGTTAGCTGTAGGGTGTGGTATTGTTAGCTGTAGGGTGTGGTATTGTTAACTGTAGGGTGTGGTATTGTTAGTTGTAGGGTGTGTTATTGTTAGGTGTAGGGTGTGGTATTGTTAGCTGTAGGGTGTGGTATTTTTAGCTGTAGGGCGTGGTATTGTTAGCTGTAGGGCGTGGTATTGTTAACTGTAGGGCGTGGTATTGTTAGCTGTAGGGTGTGATATTGTTAACTGTAGGGTGTGGTATTGTTAGCTGTAGGGTGTGGTATTGTTAACTGTAGGGTTTGGTATTTTTTGCTGTAGGGTGGGTATTATTAGGTGTAGGGTGTGGTATTGTTAGCTGTAGGGTGTGGTATAGTTAGCTGTAGGGTGTGGTATTGTTAGTTGTAGGGTGTGGTATTGTTAGTTGTCGGGTGTTTTATTGTTAGCTGTAGGGTGTGGTATTGTTAACTGTAGAGTGTGGTATTGTTAGCTGTAGGGTGTGGTATTGTTAGCTGTAGGGTGTGGTATTGTTAACTGTAGGGTGTGGTATTGTTAACTGTATGGTGTGGTATTGTTACCTGTAGGGTGTGGATTGTTAACTGTAGGGTGTGGTATTGTTAGCTGTAGGGTGTGGTGTTAGCTGTAGGCAGTTGTATTGTTAGCTGTAGGGTGTGGTAGTGTTAGCTGTAGGGAGTGGTATTGTTAGCTGTAGGGTGTGGTATTGTTAGCTGTAGGGTGTGGTATTGTTAGCTGTAGGGTGTGGTATTGTTAGCTGTAGGGTGTGGTATTGTTAGCTGTAGGGTGTGGTATTGTTAGCTGTAGGGTGTGGTATTGTTAACTGTAGGGTGTGGTATTGTTAACTGTAGGGTGTGGTATTGTTAGTTGTAGGGTGTGGTAGGGTGTGGTATTTTTAGTTGTCGGGTGTGGTATTGTTAACTGTAGGGTGTGGTATTGTTAGCTGTAGGGTGTGGTATTGTTAGTTGTAGAGTGTGTTATTGTTAGGTGTAGGGTGTGGTATTGTTAGGTGTAGGGTGTGGTATTGTTAGCTGTAGGGTGTGGTATTTTTAGCTGTAGGGTGTGGTATTGTTAGCTGTAGGGTGTGGTATTGTTAGCTGTAGGGTGTGGTATTGTTAGCTGTAGGGAGTGGTATTGTTAGCTGTAGGGTGTGGTATTGTTAGCTGTAGGGTGTGGTATTGTTAGCTGTAGGGTGTGGTATTGTTAGCTGTAGGGTGTGGTATTGTTAGCTGTAGGGTGTGGTATTGTTAGCTGTAGGGTGTGGTATTGTTAGCTGTAGGGTGTGGTATTGTTAGCAGTAGGGTGTGGTGTTAGCTGTAGGCAGTGGTATTGTTAGCTGTAGGGTGTGGTATTGTTAGCTGTAGGGTGTGGTATTGTTAGCTGTAGGCAGTGGTATTGTTAGCTGTAGGGTGTGGTATTGTTAGCTGTAGGGTGTGGTATTGTTAGCTGTAGGCAGTGGTATTGTTAGCTGTAGGGTGTGGTATTGTTAGCGATAGGGAGTGGTATTGTTAGCTGTAGGGTGTGGTATTGTTAGCGGTAGGGAGTGGTATTGTTAGCTGTAGGGTGTGGTATTGTTAGCTGTAGGGTGTGGTATTGTTAGCTGTAGGGTGTGGTATTGTTAGCTGTAGGGTGTGGTATTGTTAGCTGTAGGGTGTGGTATTGTTAGTTGTAGGGTGTGGTATTGTTAGCTGTAGGGTGTGGTATTGTTAGCTGTAGGGTGTGGTATTGTTAGCTGTAGGGTGTGGTATTGTTAGCGGTAGGGAGTGGTATTGTTAAATGTAGGATGTGCTTTAGGTAGCTATATACTGTGTTTTTTACCTTCTTCTCTTTTTTGGGAACAGAATCGGGGACATCTTGCGGAAACCTGGCGAATGCTACACAGTCGAGCAGCAGAGATTGAATATTTGATATTTGTGATTGACGCCTTACAAGATCTTGTCCAACTCATGATGGAGTACATTGACTTTAACAAGAAGAAGTTGGGAGACAAACCTAAAAAGGGAAAGAAAAAGCTAGCGGAGCAAAGAGCAGAGTTGGAGGTAAAATTTAGCCCTCCCAACATGAATTAATGGAACTGGTCTGAAGTGTCATTTATTTTGGAAATTATTCAGTTTTATTAATCACATTAGTGTTATATATCTGGTATACTATCGTAAGTTGCATTCCAATTATTTTCTTAGAAAGTATTGTATTTAGTTTATTAGCAACCGGAATAGAAATTTGACATAATCTCTTTCTATATGAAAACTCTAAATTTGAGAATTGGCAAAAGTTCATTCCATACATATTCAGACTGACTTGAAACTATGGAAACATCATCAAAACTTTAACATATAAAATAAGGTTTTCAGCTCATTCAAACAGAATATTTTGTAAATACCTTTCATGTTTTGGCTATTTCATGGACTAAAGGACTAGTTCTGGGTATTTAGGTAAAAAACATGAAATTTTTATATGAAACATTATATTTAACATTAGTGTTACATTTGAGATTCTTTTTTTATTTTAAGATCGACGAGTTATTAAAGGATTATTTTATTTCTGTATGGGAGGCTGTAATGATCACCGAAATATTATCAAAAATGTGTTATCATCATTGTTCTCAGGGTCCAATCAAAGAGGAGATATTTGGAAAGATGGTGATGGGATTCCATGAGAAGCTGTTGAATGTCTGCCATGCTCGTGTTGTATTGGCGCGGAAGCCCCTAGCAACAGTCATTGAGGAGAAAGTGAAAGCAGTGCTAGAGGAGGACGATAAACTGGATAACTACTATTTGGCCTATGAACCCATGGTATACACACATCTATTGATCTGGTTTTAACAAGGTTATCAGGAACAGAATGATTGATTTTAGTCAAGGTTCATTTTCTGCAGTGAGAATAACACTATAGTAATACGTTTGAGGACACTTAAATATTTCTGGATTTAGAGTTTGAGTTAAATGAAAATAAATCCCCCACAGAAGTCAATGATTTTACAGTAACCAAACTTTGGAGTAAAAATGAATGATGTAATTAATATTTATTATCTACCTTGCAGACACTCTTCAGATTAGAGGAAATAAAGCACATGTTGCAGTTTATACAAGACACTGTGGCAGGTGATGTCCATGCAGTTTGTCCATATGCCAATAAAATTCTGGGCTCCTTGGAAAAGAATGTGAACAGATCAAAACAGAGACGTGCATCTGTTGATTCTATTACTCTCAGTGACCCCAAAATGTACCAGAGAAGTATGCGACGTCAGGCCATGGACAAAGTCTGGTTCTTCGGATAACTTTTTATAGAAGATGTTTTCTGCCCAGTTGGAAGTTAAAATCACTGTTAATCATTTTCATTTTGTGATTTTCAAAACAAAAAAAAAAAAAATGTCTGTAAGACATGAATAAAGGTGTCAATTTTTAATGAAATTTCAGAAATGATCAAATGTGACCTTTGACCCTTTAAATTAAAATAAATACTGTTGAGAGGTTTTCAAGATATTACATTGATTTGGTACAGGACTGGATACATATGGATAACTGTGTCACAAAATGGTGGATGTGTTAAATGATGCCTTTAACTCTGATAAACATGTATATTCTTTAATAGTTCTGTTAGTAGATATCTTAAAGCATGGTTTTACTTGAATCGTTGATTAAACCAAACAAAACCAGCTTATTATAGATTCTGATCTTTGGTTTGTAGGATTTGCGGAGTGAATCAATAATATATAGCCTGTAACTGGGTTCTATTTTCAATTTTATTACCTACAATGTGTACTTTACTTAGAAAAATTCAGATAATGATGAATTTTACTTTCAAATATCTTAACGAAGCATTACAATTGTTGGTCAGTTTTAATCTATAGTAAGTGAATTAGCAACGCAATGAATTGATAGATTTTGTACACACTTTATGTAATGAATGTGTGCAGTCAAACCGGTCTTAAATATCATCTTTATACAAAGGCCACCTGTCTGTAAAGGCTGCTTTTTGGTTCCCTATTTAATCCACTACATCTATGGGAATCAGACGTTCTGTATGTAAACTATAGCTTTCATAAAATACTAAAAATAGCAGGATTTATAGATATGAAATTCATATATATAATTTCAGCTGTATTAATAGTATAATAGCTATATTTCATATGTAGAACATCCAATATGTAACATTGACCATCTGATCCTGTGGTATACTTTGCATGTTGAAATGCCTTAGGCTTATAGGCACTTGTTAAGTCCATATTTTTGTTAAAATGTTCATGATTTTACATTTAGCTCCCTCTGGGTGGCTTTCTGGTAGATCCCGGTAATTGAACCTCTATATAAAGGCCACCTGTGTATAAAGACCACATTTCTCAGCTCTCTTGAGTAGCTTTTATAGACAGGCTTGGCTGTTATGCACTTAATATATACAATTTATTTCATTTAATTTGATTTTATTTTCATTTCTTTATGAGATGATGTATGTTGTTTGTTTGTTTGTTTTTTTCTTTTTCTTACTGATCAAATTTTGGAAAGATTCTGAACATCAAAACTGTGGATAGTGGTGCATGTAATATTCCATAGATTTATTGTTCATTATTAGTCCCCTGCTGGTGAAACCTGAGAAACCAGAAAGCACTATAGTGTTTGTCTCCGTCCGTCCATTATGTTAGCTTATGAAGTAATACAGAATGGGAGTGATTTTTGGGACCAAAGATCAACTGCAAAAGTCACTGTTGCTAAAAATAGTTGTTTTGGGTTTTTTTTTTAAATTTTATTTTTCCAGATGATAACTTCAGAAAGGATTGATGACATTGGTTGAAACTTAAAAAATGTTTGCTTATGAAGTAATATAGAGAAAGATTGAAATTGGGGTCAGAAGGTCAGCTTTTTAGGTCACTGTTACTAAAAGTAGACTTTATTGTCCTGTTTTGACTTCCAGATGATAACTTGTGACTGACTGATTGTATTGAAACTTGATGCAAACTAACACTATTAGAAAATATATAGGGTGGGGTTGAGTTAGTGGTCATAAGGTCAACTGTGAAGGTTGTGAAGGCCACTGGCTCTGCATCAAAGATGTGGGAAGCAAAATTTGTCAGAATAACACCAGTAGTCAACAGACCAATGTTCAAGGTCACTGTTTCAAAAGGTCAAGGACAAATGTTATATCTTTTCATGTGTATACTGACAATGTAACTAGAATGGTTAAATTTACCCTTAAACATAAGACAGAAAGGCAGGTTTTGTTTTCCAGATAATCACTTAGTTGATGAGGGAATGACAAACTTGGTTAAAACTTCATACAGTATATAAGCACAAGGGAATGCACATAAAGTCATTTTATGTTATTTTCTGGTTTTTGTGTCCTTCCTGTCTGTGCACTGGTTTTTGATGAGAAGACTTTTAATTTTTAAAATGAGACATCTGTTCATTGCTATCTGGGTCTATGTTATATAGAAAATTGAATAACGATAAGGGACAAGTGTTGCATGCAATACCAACTCTAAGCATGTTTTAATGTATTTTCAGGCTGGACTGAACTGAAGATTTATAATTTATTTAATTGGCATACACCAAACATGCCATGGACATTTATTTATCTTTGGAGAATTTGGATTTAATTTCACAAAAAAGTATGACTCTAACAGGAGAGCCTTGTCTAACTCCAATGGAAATTTTAAGTAATTTTCACAAAGAAACAAACGTCATCAAAAGCAATTAAAAACCTCTAGAGCCTATATTTACTTGTTAATTCTATGTTTAGGATCCCAGTTAAACTGTCTATCAAACTGATATGTGTATGTTTATCATTTTGTTCATTCCTATATTCTAATTGTTACATTTGTAAATAATTTTTATTTTTACATTATCATTATCAAAAGGATTGCACCTGAAGGTTTGCTCTGTGTCCGTCTGTATGTCTGTCCTTCAGTCTTTTCTGTCCTTCTGTTCTTATCTTGTCCAAACTTTGTCTCCTACATTATCTGTCACTCAAACTTCCTTACTTGGGACATGTTTTATATTACCGAAATAGTGAAACAAGGTGTATTATACCAAACGTAGGGTACTTTAACCTACATTTTGACCTTTGTCCTACATCAAAGTAAAAAATGAGCGCAGCCACTGTCTCCTAACTATACTTGTTACTAGAACTTAAATACTTGGTCATTGGTTGATTTGTAGCTTAAGTAGGTCACACTTTTTTTTTTTTTTTTTTTAAATCTGTGTTGATTCAATTTTAACATAATGGTTTCCGTCTTCAATGGGATCTTATGATCCAGGCTCTGACAAGCTTTATACTGTTATTTTTCATTGATTCCTTCTTGTTATTGATGATGATGCAATACAATTTTAAGGTTTTAGATAGGCTAAGATCAACTACCTTGTAACAGAATTTTTGCAATCTCAATAAAATTGATCAAAACGAGTAAAATGTTGTTATTTTGAAATTTTTTTTTATAGTTTATTTTTATAATTTACAATTAAATTTATAAATGTGTCATGGCAATTGATTGCTAAAATGAACTTTATATGATAATTATTATATATGTATTCACAAAATTAGTTGTGGAGAGTTAGGAGGTCAGTATGGGGTGACTACATGCTGTACTTTTCATAATGTCAGGGCAGTTTATCATATTATCATATGATATCATATGAAAATGCTTCATTTAGGATTATTTTTCTACTTTCTGTAAAGGGAGGTAATCTACAAATGTACATGCATGCCAAAGTTTGTCACACACTTACATATGACTACAACATCTTGGGAAAATTGGATTTTCAGGTGTGTTGTTCAAGGTCACTCTTACTATTTTCGGAATAAACACTTTGCGTGTTAATATTATTGGGTCAAGGCCAAGGTCACAGTATCTTTTTTAGAAAATTATTGTCAGTGCTTCAGCAGCTTCATTCCATGAGAAATTCTCATCAAACTTTACACACTGTGTAAATAAAGTGTTATATCTTGCCTGAAGGGTCAGTCGGAGACATGTATTGTATTAGCAATACTCAGTATGTTTGGTTTTGTTTGTGATTGTCATGCTGCAAAATAAGCAAAATACTTTACCACAACAGAAATTAAACCCATTAGATATATATTAGCCTGTCTCATAAAAAAACACTGAAACTGAAATAATTGGAACAATTAAATTGGTACAAAGATTCATATGGGATTTTTTTTTTTTTTTTTTTCAAAAACTCAAGTATTCTAGTTGAACAGAACTGTTTTAAAGATTAATTAAGAATTATAGCTGTTGAGGAAGTTATTTGTTATTTTGTAATGATATATGTAAGTAAAAAAGGCAAGTTAAAAAATATATATTATTACTTTAATTTTTTTTCCTGGACCAAACTAATTAGAAATTAAATCAAACAAAACACATGCTGGCAGCACGGACTTTGCTGGTAAGTTCCAAAAATCAAACCGAGACTTTATCACATATGTTTACCAAAAATATCCGGATTTGCGGTAAATTTATTTCTGGCTCTAAATTTAGGTATTATTCAAAATGGCTGCCTCTATGGAATCACATGCGAAAGGGAAACAAAAAGTTATCAAAAGCGTGTCTAAGACATCCAACGAGAAAAGACTTATCGTTATTTTGGAAAAGTCGTCATTGGAGTCAGTGAAGGTAACTTTGATGCACTTTACATTTAGTTTATGACGTATATGCCTTTGGGTATCGGTAAGAACAGGAGACGGTTTTAGAGACTACAGTACCATGCGGTGGGGGTATTTACCGAAATGGACTGAAATGGATTTGACTTTGCCGACACTTCTTAAATAGGAATTATGTGTATGGGGCATTTAGGGTTTTTGCCAAGTTTCTAATCTCTGTTGGTTTTGTGTTCTAAATTGGAGACCTAAATGTATTCATTCATATCCACTTTGGCCCATCTGTTATTAGTATTACCGATTATTACGTATTTGTCGTGAAATGCGTCTAACTTTATTTTTTCACAAACAATAATTAAGAACTCCCAATGTGCCCTGAAGGGTTTTGGATTTTATTTTTGTCTTGTCACGATCGTGGTCATTCAAAGTATTATCCTCAATGACGACTTAACCACGGTTGTATGTACCTGGTATAGAGATGATCAATGTACGGAAATAAATTGAATTTGTGTCCTCAAAACTCAAAGCTTTACGATATTGACATATTTCAGTGATGGAATTTACTTTCTTGCTGATACTTGCAAAGACATGGGAGTATCAAAGTACAGTCAATACACAGCTGTAACAGGGATGGAATAAATACAGCACACCTTTATTATCTCTAATCTTTTGTGTTTATTTATACCATATGACAAACTTCTAGATACAGTACAAAGTTTTTAACTGTGTTCTATTTACATTTTTACATATCTGGATTTTTTCTGTCTTCTGCATTTCTCTCAAATCTCTAAACATCTTTCTTTTCTCATGACATTAACTGTTCAAAATCCAATTCTGCTCAGCTTTAAAATGATCTAGCACTTACACCAAAATCATTCCAGATGGAATTTAACCGATTGAAATTGCCCTCATCATGTTATTCATGTCAAGTACTAGTACAGTGTATATGCAGGTCTACTTACATAAATGAATACAAGTAGATGAAAGATGGAACATCAACACCAGGGATTCAGTGACTTTGTCAGATTTATTGGTTGACATGTTTCGAACGGTCAGCTGACAGTTGACCTAAATCTAGCCAACTGAAACATATTATTACCTATTGGCTATGGAGCTCTATTAGAATACTTTGGTATCTACCAAGGATTCCTCTACTGATACATCTACAAACCAGCACCACCCACGGGGCGTTGGACTCCTCCACCTCTTTGTGTTATCCTTCCACTATAAATGAATACTATTGACATACAAATGTGTTTACAGGGCTCTCACACCCCATTTTGGGACTGGGGCCCGGGGTCCTTAGAATTGGGAAAAATAGCGGCGTTTTCCTTAGAATTGGGAAAACTTTCGGTCTAAATTGGAAAAAAAAGATACTATTTTGCATTGGAAATTCGGCCCCAAATCTGGCAGATCAAGAGCCCTTGGTTTAAATACAGTGATATTACAATTAGTTTCCTATATATCAACAGTATTCTATTTAGTTATACAGAAATATTATAATTAAACTAATATATGTCTAACAAATATGAAACACATTAAAAGCTAATTATTTAGAAAAAAACATTAATTAGGCTAATGTCAGTAAATATGAAACATACATATCTGGCAGGGCGATGCAATATACATGTAGATACACCTTTAGTGCCAAAGTGTACCAAGGTAAACAGGCAACTCACTGACAGTAGTGTGTTGTGGTAGAGTGTCATGGTAACAGAGTAATGCGATGTCAGTATGTCACAATAGTCTGTCTCAGTATCAGGATGACTCACTGACAGTAGTGTGTTGTGGTAGAGTGTATAGTAGTGAAACCGAATGAGAAGATTCAAATAGACAATATTACCTGTTGTATATTTTATCTCACCCAAAGTGGTGCCTGTAAACAATATGTACAAAAAATGAAAACATGTACATTATTCAAAACAGAAAGAATCGAAAGGAAGGATATGTATATCAAGAAGAAACTCTGGAGTCATTACCTGAAAATTGAACAAACAATCACACTGTATAGGTCTCTTCACAATATATGGTATTTCTTGTAAGCTCCCTTTATCAGTATGCATATACAGTATTGACAACAATCTTGTAAATGTATTCATTATGTAGAAATCACCTGAAATTTACTGAATTTTATTTAGTGTTTGAAAATTAAAAATATTATTTTGGATCTAATTTGGTCAATGTAATGTTCAAATATAACATAGAACATCACCTTAATACAACAAATGTGATAACTACCGGTATATATAATAGAACTGATTGTAAGGTCCTTCTACTTAATGATTCTTTCATGCACTCTGTCACTCTTGATTTTGAAGGGTGATAACCAGATATATTAGATGACTAGAGGTTGGCGACACTGAAATATAACTTTAAAAATAGAAGAAAAAATCTCATAAATAGTCTCTGATGTTAACTGATGATACATCTTTTCCCTTAACAGGTTGGAAAGCAATTTGAGTTGATAAACTGTGACAAACATAAACAGATAGCTAAAAAGAGTGGGCGAGACATTTCCCAATGTCGACCAGATATTACACACCAGGTGAGGCAGCGTATTAACAGTTCTGATGATGATCTTAAAAGGTTGGAGACCTGTAAACAACTTTTCACATACAGCAATTTACAGCTCATTCTAGCATTTTCATTTGACTATCTCTTTAAAATGTGTAATGAACATTGTTAGTATTGAAAACTAATTTAAACTAGTGAACTTTCGCTGAAATGATTTATTATGTTAATTTTAGCCATTTGAATATGATACAGTAAAAAATATTTGTGTTGATACAGAATTTCATTTCAATTTCTTCAAAGATGAATAAAAATAATAATAAAGGATTAAGTGGTTTTTTATGACTCTGATTTTTTGGAGGTTTTTTTATTTAACACGCCTTTAACCAAACTTTTCTGATGATAACTTTGGGATCCATGTATATAGTCCAGAGGTGTATGTGGCACATTTTTCTGTATAACTAAAATGACTGACGAATCAGTCAGTTTATTGGAAGAATGAAAACAATACCTGTTTATATGTGGGTTTGTTTCAGTGTTTACTGATGTTGATGGACAGTCCACTAAATCGTGCTGGTCTTCTGCAAGTCTACATCCACACAGAGAAAAATGTTCTCATAGAAATCAACCCACAGACGAGAATTCCGCGAACATTTGACAGATTCTGCGGACTGATGGGTATGATTCTAGTTGTATTACATAGGAATATATGTAGAGCTTTTGTTTATGGAGATGTGTCAGTTTGGGCCATTTTGCAATCTCTCTGTGATCAGACAATTGTTTTGTAGGATGTCGCTTTAAGGTCTGCATAAATAGTATGCTATTTAAAACATAACATTTTTGTGAGTTCTTTGAAAATTGGGATCAGAATTGAGGTTCTTACAAACTTAATCCTAATATTGGAGTGAACATTGTAGGTTTTATATTTTATTGTGCATGTGCAAAAATTGAAAATATCAGAAAATGTAAAAGAAGGTCACAGATCAAGTTACATAATTTGTAAGTGGTCTATTTGCACTATATGGTATGTTTCCATGCAATAATCTGTCATTTATAAATGCCACAGTTCAATGTGTATATTTACATTTCTTATGTATTTTGCTGAATAAAGCTGGTCATGCCCATCATAACTTTATTGGAATTACATTAAAACTGAATTATTCATTATCAGCAGTGTTCCATCATGTAGAACACCATTTTATTTGTGACCTGTCACTATTATTACACTTTAATGGTCTCGCACCAAGTATCATTTATTATACCATAAATTCATTTATATTAAGGCATATTCATGCTTATATGAATATTTGACACTAAATTCCCTGCAAAAGACAAAAAAAGAGTGTATAATGTAAACATTTCTTGATCCTACAGTACAGTTACTGAGAAAACTCAGCATTCACGCAGCAGATGGACCTCAGAAGTTACTCAAGGTAATGTATAAAATAATCGAAGTTTGCATGCCTAGTTATTTTCTTCGGGGGAGAGGGGAAGAGTGGCAGGAGACTGTGGTGTTATCCATGTCTGTCCATTCTGTTCTGTCCTGATCCTGTCCCATTCAGAGCCAACGTCATACTGTAAATGTACCTAATTTCATAAAATTGTATGGCATTATCACTTTTTGGCAAATTTAGTGCAACAAATTATTTGTGCATCCATAATAATTTGTATGTAAATAATATACCGAAACTACAATTAGTGAAATCGTAGTTCAGTAAGATACCGCAAAAGTGCTAACATGAGGTAAGCACTAAAGTATGTATACTTAGTATTTTGAGAACTTCTCAAAAGAGTTTTGTCATATATATATATCCCATAGTATCTTAACATCAAGTTCTACACCATGTCATATGAATGTAGGCAGTTGTCAAGTTTGAAGGGTCAAAGGTCACCTTTCACATTTTCTGGAAATTCATCCAACAATATTTCAATTTCTACTCAAGTTGGACTTGATGCAACTTCCAAATTAGTCCTTTTCTTTTGTACATGAATTTGACCAGATTATCATTGCTCTTGGCATATAAATACATCCTTTACAGATTCTGTAAGATGGAAAATCCTTGCACGTGTTTGATGCTAAACTTTAAATAAAAGTAATCGGTAAATTTGCATCAGATTTGCAGAATACAAATTGATAAAGAATAATGATATATATGATATGTATTGAATAGATCAAAATATGATATTATGGTAATATTTAGCAGAACAGATTTGTTTTCCATGCTTTGGCACCTGCTCGAGACCTTGAAAATACTCTTGTCTGCTACAAAATTTTTCATTTTTCATTGCCTGAAAATGAGAATCTCGAGGAAGACCAAGAGCTTCCACTGAGCAATTCTGCTACAGAACTGCTTCTTGACTAAACTCTTGATGTCATGGATACTAAGACTGCTGAGAAAGGTCATGAAAATCCACAAGCCTGGATAGTTATTTATTTGCTACAGAAATGTGTGATGTCGTTCTCTAAATTAGATATAAAGTCCTGTGTAATAAACAATGCCTGTAGCTTTTATGGTCATTGGTATTATCATAAACAAGTACCACATGCAATAAACAAATATCAGTTTCAAAACATTTTTGAAGAATTCAAAACTTGTTGTACTGTTTAAGTTGTTATTCTGCCAAAATGTCATCGGATGGAAGGTGGCAGTATACCAAGGTTATGCTGTTCTATATATCTTGTCATTTGTTATGTTTAGTGTAGATCTGTTTATGGTTTTTAATACAAGATTTTTATACCAAGAATTTCTTTGCTCTCATGTGCTTTCAGGTAATAAAAAACCCAGTAACTGATCATTTACCCATTGGATGTTCAAAGATTGGAACATCTTTCAGTGCCGACATTTGTGATGACCTGAAAGAGCTCGTCCCATCAGATGAACCTGTGGTGTTTGTAATTGGAGCAATGGCACACGGAAAGGTAACTTTTGTTCTCTCCAATATTGTATTTAAAGGTTATTGGCAGCAGGTTGTATTTATATTTTATCCAATTAAAAGTGACATTTATTTCTTTCTTTTTCTTGCCTTTAATTTGGTTTTTTGATCATGCTAATAACTAGATAAAAAAGAAGTGATGGTAAACCTTTACACAGTAGGTATTAAACAAATGATAATCCTGACTGATAAACTGTTTGTACCTTGGAATGGAGAGATTGATTACAAAAAAATGACTAGAATTAAATTTGCGTCGTTCATATAATAATCCTTCTCCATCAGTGTTTAAGCTTTGGAGTGAGGGATAATAGAGAGCACATACAAAATCAAAGTTGCATTCACATGACGTAGAAACCAATTGTCCAATGAGTGATGATTTCATTATTCAGACATTGTAATTATATGGATTTACGTAGATACCATAAATCTCGCCAGCAATAAAACTGACTGGGTATATTAAACAACCTGTTTCATAAGGCAGATTTATTTAAACAAAATAATAAATTTTCATACTGATCAATTCATTTCCTTCTATCAGATCAATACTTCTGAAGAAATTGCTTGTCATTTTATTAAGAAATGGTAATATTATGTTGTAATGACACAAAGACAAAATCAATTTGAATTTTGTTTTGTTTCATTAGATTAACTGTTGCCCAAAAATATTAATAAGGATATGAAATACTGACAACACTTAATCTACAGAAAATATTGATTATACATCTAAATATACAACAAAACAAGTCATATCATTAATTAATCTTTACTTGTAAAATCACACACTTTATCATCAGACATGAATTCACTGCATAAATTACAAACTGAATATAACTTTAAATATCACAGTAACTTATATCACAAGTGAAAATACTAATTGATTAAGGTTGAACATTTTTAATGAAAAGTGTGTGTTATGTTATTTTTGATAAACTACCTTTAAAATTTTGTACTTTTACTTGTTAGAGTTATGTGTTTTGAAATATTTTCTTTTGTTTTTTGTTGATAGATTGACGTACCGTATACAGAGAAAACCGTGTCATTCAGTAACTATCCACTGTCTGCTGCACTTACATGTGCTAAGTTGTGTAATGCTTGTGAAGAGAAATGGAACATCAAATAAATATTATAAAACAGAAATATTTTCTTCTCTTTTTATTCCAAATCTTTTTCTGTATAATACGCCATGTTTTATAAATTAATGTATGTTAGTTTATTTCCACAAGGCTTATAATTTTGCAGTTGTCCAAGTTTGGGCTGTTTTATGGTGAATAAATTTTGCCTTCACGATACATTGGTATCCAAGTATACAAGTATATAACCTAGATTTCCTTACATTTTATTGATCTTAACTGTCTGCTAGGTATTTATTTTCGTGGTATCTCTGATGACTGTAAATATAGCAAATGAAATCACAAATATTGCTAACTTTACAGTATGTGATATTGAGGTTTGTAGGTTAAAAGTTTTACTTATATTTTTATTTCCACAAACATATATCTTACTGTGTTCATGCCCCAAGCTTCAGTACTCTCCACGGCAACCCTCCTATAATTAAAAAAAACAGAAAGTGGTAAATTGGCATTGGCCAGTTTTTCCTACCAAAACGTCACTGAAGAATGTGCAAATTTCCTTCCTGTATAATTTCTCTGATTTAGAAAATATATCTGTAAGAGTCTTGTCCATTTCCCGGAGAAATTATCGGAGGACACGAATGCTCTCGTCGTCAACTAATAAGTTTGGAACATTCAACTGTTATTTAATTTTAGGGCGTTCACATAAATCATGAATGAAAATTGATGTCCTTCCTGTAGAGTCTATGACAGAAATATAGAATTGAAGTTCTGCCTGCATATTTTTATTTTTATTTCCCACTGGAGTTATTCTTGGCTCTCAAATATTAGTCTTATCATTTTGTGAAATATATACATTAAACATCGTAAAATCTCTTTTACCATATTTTTGGATAAATACACTGACCAATTCTGACCTTGACCTATGTATATCAATATTATTAAAATACATACCGAATTACAGTTCTACATCTGTCGCCGATAAAAAGTCAATAAGAGGAATTGGAAATATGATGGAATGACAGACAAGGGTGACACTATATGACCCGACCTTCCTGTGTAAGTGTCCAGGTGTCTATTTGATGACATGCTAAGAGTACAAGAACGTTGCTTTCGTGGGACCACTCTGCATTAATACCTAGAGGCATGAGTCTGATAAAGCCATTTCGACTCTAGATGTATGGGGCCAAACACTAAAAGTACTTAGATTATGGAGCATCGTCCATCGTTCCTTCATTCAATCATCCTTCTTTAAGGAATATCACGCGAATACGTACCCTAAATGGATAATGGTATTGTGAAGAGATAAAACTTCAAATAGTGTGTAGAGCATCTCCTTTTGACGGTCGTAAAGAAAAGACTGCGATATTGATGACCGCCATTTTGAAAGGAGTGTCACGATAGACTTTAACTCTTGATGAAATGAGTCGATAGAAACAAAATACCCGAACGAATTTTTTTTATCTTAGAATTTTTTGTCCAGTTGCAATTTAATGTTTCTTTCTAGCTCTGGAAAAGTGAACGTAAACTGAGAAGGTCTCGAAATTTTCTCGGTTTATAATTCTAGAAAAAAATACGCCCGCCAATCAAATATCAACCAATGATATGATTCCACTTAAAATTTTGTTCAATGTTCCATCCTATTCTGACAAAAATGAGGAGAAACTGATGATTTATCAATGCTTTACCCATTCAAAGACCATACCTCTCCAACAAAATTGGTTTGTCACAACTTATCACAGAAGAGACCTGTATCTTGTCATAATTCAATGTTTCTGTTCAATAACTTCATCCAGTACTGAGAAAAGTCGGATAAACGCAGTGTTTAGTTTAAAGGGTTTCTAAGATCAGGCCCCACTTGTATAAAACATCTCAACTTGAGATTTCCTCAAGTCGAGATTTTCCTCAGCTGATATCTCCTCAAAAACGGCTTGTATAAAATTTTCTCAAGGAACAGGAGGAAGGCATCGGCTAGGATGTTCTGAAATTCCTTGAGGAATTTTCATACAAGATATTTTCAAGGAGATATTAGCTGAGGAAAATCTCGACTTGAGGAAATCTCAAGTTGAGATGTTTTATACAAGTGGGGCCAGGAACCACAACTCAATAAACCAATAAGATAATCATACCAAAATAAAAAGAAAATGACACTGTTTGTTTGTTTTGGGAAATCAATAAATCATTTCTCCTTGAATGAGTTAAAATAATATCAGTATTCGAAGAATAAATGAATATTGAATAATCCTATGTGTCTTTCTGTACTGCTTCTTGCGTCTTTAATGGATCAAAAGTTCGTCATTCAATACTGGAACTTCAAAATTGATCCATGATCTTTGACCGTTGGTAATTTACATATTAGGTCGTGAATTTCAAATCTAGTTATATTCTAATATCTGGAGTACATGCTTGTTGTACTATAATTGTGTAAAGCTGAAAGTCAGTCTGAGGTCAGTCTTCTTTGCTCGTTTTAGTAATTGATATTTTGTCGAAAAAAGAACATAAAAAGATGTCTTAAACCATCAACAACATTTTATTTTAAATAAGTTAATTAGTTCTAGTTTCACAAACGTTTCAAATCTTCAGGAAATTTTCCAAAGGTTTCCTTTAAGTTAAAAAAGAGAAATAAATGATCATCTGAAGTAAAAAGAATCGTTTGTGAAACTGGACCTGAACAAATAAACGAATGCTTATCAAGAACAGCAACGACGACAGTATTGATGTGACAAGATTCGTTATGGTCACGTGATCATTCGTGGCTGGACAGTCCCCTCCCATTTTGAATCGTTGCTCGGGACTACTTTAAGAGGATTGGACTGCATCAATATCCGCCTGTAAAACATAAACAAGAATTCAATTAAAAAATAGTGACTACAGCGGTTATGAAATGTGTGGAGAAACAGCATTTTCATCATATTATTTAGTTCGCTGTCAATTACATATAATTGTAACAATGTGTGTCATGCAAATAGATAATACAGTTTACCAATCAAATGATTTCGTTGACGTATAGCTTCTTCCTCGTAAACTTTATCAAGGTTACCGAAGCAGCCAACATAGTGAATATGAGAGAATACTTTCTAGATAAATTTCATATATGTTTTATGGCGATGAAAGAGACACATGAGACATGTTAGAAATATTGTAAATTGAAAAAAAGAAATGAAAATACACAAGTACCTCCAACGAGACCTCCTTTCTTGAAACCTCCAAATCCTTTGTGCACTGCAAAATAAAGGTAAAAATTGTAAAATTGTAATGAAACTCGCTTGAGAGACAACCTCATCTGCAGTATTTGACTGTTCGTTGTAAACAGTTTTGTCGGTGGCATTTTAAGTTAACTTGATGAAAGATTTCTACAGATATTCAATACAGATTTTATTATTTATCATATCAATCTATGTACTTACTTCCCATAAATCCTCCCTTCTTCATACCTCCAAATCCTTTGTGCACTGCAATGAAACATTACCATTAGTGACTTTGTAAACATTAAAACGCATCCTCTAATGTTCAAATCAAGTCTGAATAAATGACAGATGACAAGTCACCATGTTTGTATATTTCGACAAATCCTGAATGAAAAATAATCAGAATTGGCACGGTTTATATGTTCATGTTAAATTGTTATCGATATTATACTCACTCATGCCTCCGTGTCCTCCTACAAAACCATGTGACACGCCCACTGAAGATCCAAATCCGTGACCAACACCATTTACGAAGCCTCCAGACACTCCACCACCAATATTGATTCCACTTCCCTGTCCTCCAAAGGATGCTGAGAAATCATCGTTGGAAATAACACCCCCGTTGCCTCCAAAAGCAACTCCAAATTCGTCGTTGACAATTGCCCCTCCATTGCCTGAGAAAGCAACACCAGTGTCATCACCAACGATAGCACCTCCATTACCTCCAAAAGTGACGCCAAAATCCTCGCCTACAATAGCTCCCCCAGATCCACCGTTGATGGCTGTAAAATCTTCACCAGCAATAGCGTTGAATCCGTTTCCAGACACACCTGCGACATCGTCAGAAATAAAAGCTCCTCCTCCATTTAATGACACGGAGCCAAAATCGTCTCCAAGGTTCGCACTGAAGCCACCCCCAACAGATCCGCCCAAGTGACCGCCAATGTGTCCGCCTCCAATACTTTGCTGATGGGCAAATCCATTAACCATACCACCATGTCCTCCGATAAATCCACCCTTGGGGTATCCACCATGGAAACCACCATGGATGCCACCTTTTCCTCCGATGAATCCACCAATGTGACCTCCCTTGTGGTAACCTCCCTTCATCATTGGTATAGCTACCATGTGGCCTCCCTTAGGGTAACCACCGATGATGGGACGGTGAATCATCTTGTGGTATCCGCCCTTTCGGTATCCACCATATCCGCCACCAATCATGAATCCACCTTTGGGATATCCGTAATGGACTCTGTGACCGATGAAGCCGCCCATGGGATGACCGCCTAAAATTAGAGTTATAATATTAGCGAGCGAATTTCAATATATAATTATTGTGATTGATAAATTAGAATGAAATAGATTCATTGCTATCATCTTCGTGATAAATTTCTAATTTTTTTTTTCAATATTTATAAAACAATGTTTTAACAGGAATGTAATCTGAAACTGTGTAAAAAAGCACTTACCATGATAGTTGGCCAGAGATACGGTTGCGAGAGAGGCAAGGATGGCAAGGACAAACATGCTGATCTATCTGTAAAAAAAAGATACAAGATAAGTATCATTTTCAAGACTCGAGTTTTTATCATCTTATCATATCACATATCAGCTAGTTTTTCTTTGATTTTATAAGGAAAATGATTTTTCGTCAACCGAGATATTGACAATATGGTAATGCCTTAGCCTTACTTAATATTAAACAACTTAATGGATGTTGTAAATCCACAAAAATGCAAAAGAGAATTCACAAATGTACAAAAGAGAATTTACAAATGTACAAAAGAGAATTCACAAATGTACAAAATTCTAGTTTCGTTAAACATAACTATATCATTGCAAAGAGACTCTTATCAAAAGTGCCTGTTTGGAAGTATGTTTGCTCCATACTAGTAAACTCTATTGTCAGAACAATGATGCTCACCAATAGAGGTGACCGAGAAAAGAATATACCCCTAAAAAGAGGCCAATAGAAGTATCAGCGTCACGCAAAATCGTCGAGCACATTCGATAGATTCAACAAACCCGTCGAAATGACAGGTGTGTTTCCTGAACAGATGATTTACTAGATAATCCATTAATATGTTTCTAACCCTACAAGTTAGATAATACAGAGCGTATTGGTTTGTATTAAATTTAATCTTAACCATTCCTAAACACGTGTTTAGAAAATGGAAATCACTAAGGAGTACTTGGTAATAACTGTATATTACTGAGCCAAGGTTATGTATTCTAACTGCAGTTCAAACAAAGATGCAGTGCTCAGTTAACACAGCAGGTTAGTTTGAACCCTTACATGATATAACCAGAAACATCGCGCCAGAATACATACTGCTACATTTAAAACGAACTATTAACAAGGTTATATTACAATACAAAAGTGCGTCTAGCTGAATGTGACATTGTATTTTTGCAATGCGATAATCCATTTCACCACAAACACTTTTCTACTGCATTCGTCCCATGATTTGTAAAGAAAGTGTGTCGATGGCAAATGAATGATATTGAAATACGAAATGGTCCCTTGCTTGATATCAAAATTCTTGAATAAAAGCAAAGTATCTTTTAAAACTAATATTGGTCGTAAAATAAAATCTATGCAAAGAAGTCATTGAACATTTTCAAGACAGTGTATCGCAGTAGCTCAACAACTGAGATAAATCCCCAATTCTGAAAGAAAGATTTTTTCTTAATATGTTCAGTCTCCAATACATACCTCCTCTTGGATGTCCAGACAGGGAATGATGCTCTAACAGTGCAATATGAGCCCCTTATATAGAGCCAGAACAAACCATCCTCTCTGTAGACAACCCCTGCGGACTCTCTGTGACAGTCACCTGACAAGCTTGCATAACACAAAGGTGCGTTATTAGACAATAGGTAGGCTTACCTGTGATCAATAACATATTTCTTCTGATATTTCATCTTTCGTGTATTAACAGCTTGCTATGCTATTTTTAAGGTGAATAGTGAGATGACATGAATGGAAATGCGAAGAACGGTTTTTGTACATATGAATGAAGTGAGAAAATGTTTTTTTAAAATCATAAATGCATCTTGTTATTCAAATATATACAAACTATTCTTGAGTTAAAGAATAAATTTATTTTGAAAAGAATTGGCGTCATTAAGATTCCTTCTTGACTGAAAGAAAAAATGTTTCCGGTGAAGTTTAGAAACTGCAATAGTGCTTCTATTTAATCGGTATTGTTCATGTTTCTTTCGGATTTTAAATCAGATAGATTATTCGAGAACAACTCAAATGAATATCTCACTATATAGTACAATTTAAATTAAGAATAAATGTAACCGATTTTCCATATACAAACAATATATAATAGACGATCAGTATTCTTTCAAGTTTGTACAATATATAGAATATATAGCAAATGTGAAACGATAAAAAACCATGATATGAGATACAAAATGAGAAAAAAAATATGACACGTACACTTACAATGATACTGTTGAAGGAAAAAATGGCAATTTTATGTTCAAAACAAAAATATAGAGCATTCGAGTTATTTTAATTAGTATGTAACTTTTTTAACCAGTTTCTGATAATTGTATTGCGGTTATAGATGTATCATAAATTGATTATATATTGGGTCTTACTTTTCACGTGAAGGAGATCACTTAAACATGGATCTTATCCATTGATTTTAAAGATGATTTTCACCAATATTGATAGATTGTATAGATACATATGTATTACCTGCGTTTAACAGAATTTACATTTGAAATTGTGCTTCCCATCCCCTCCTCCTAAAAAAGTAAAACGAATCTGAATATTTTTCCGTTTTCAAGCAGGTTCACCCTATTTCAAACAATTTGAGGAATTCGAGGCTAGTATTTTCTAGTGAACTGTATTAAAATTGGTTTGTTAACATTTTTGTCTTGAAAATACATTTCTTTTAAAACGGAAGAAAACGCCTCTGATTAATTTCATACAGTTACACACATTTAACATACTTAATTAAGAAGTCAGTTTTCCGTCATACAGTTACCTTTTACCTGACAAGATAAATCAAAATACTATGCGCAAGGGGTTTCATTTTGGAAAAGGGGTTACAAATTTTATTGAAATTATGCTGTTTCGTATAGACAAATATGTAGTTTTTTCAAGCTAAACGCAGACCTGACAAACCACAGATAATTTTTAAAGCAATAAAGCCATATCTGCAGCCATGAGGCATTATGTCACAATGGTATTAGTGTGGAGCTCATGACAATAGTCTGACAGGAGGTACACTATGAAGGGTGATAGAATTGACGGATCTGACCATAATAATGGCAGTTGAGTAATATGATGTATATTATCACACTCCTTACTAGCAGCGTGTACTGACAAAAATACACATACTCATAAAACAGCTTTGTATGTGAGAAGAACAGTTAGAATTTAAAAAATACACTTGAAATATATTATCTGATTTGATTAACCAAAATGTGAATTATCATTTTTTTCCCCACTTTCATTCATTGATCTTTCTTTGAAGGTGGTATGTTTAAAACTAGAGTCAAGGCGTCCCGTGAGCTGCGAATCGCGAAAATGCTACTCACTGCCAGAATATCATGAGAATTTTGTCTATTAAGAACAGATTAAACATATAACATTTTGTTAATATACTTGTACCTGTGTTAATCACTGAAGTAAGCCAGTTTACGTCAATTTTCCTACCTTTCTCCATCACATTTACAGGTTGATGGTACCAAACATTGGTATAAATATTATCGATGTTTCAATCTGTAAAATATCATAGTTCGTTAAAGAGTATCTTTACATCAACGAATAAAACATCTAAAGCTTCTCATATTTATTTTGATTTGGGGATCAGAATTTTAGAGACGAGGAAATACCAGAAAAATAGCACTATTTCAAGTATTGGGGCCTTCTCTACCTTAAAATGTGATTTTATTTTGCCATTTAATAAGTCATTAACTATAATACCAGTATTAAAAACCGTGTTCGGCAGAGGTTGATGAGAGTTACGTTCTATGGGTTGGCCCAGGTTGGTCGAATCGAGCACCGATAACCCCAGGGTACATGTTACGTGTCAAAATCACACTAGGACGATCAATCATTTTTTTTCTTAACACTATCACCTGTATTCTGGACATCGATATTGCGTACTATGCAGTTTCGTCTGCAATACATATCCACGTGGACAATGGAGCGATCATAATTTATTTTGTTCATCCATTTTATCATTATATATACAGCCTGGAGACTGCTAGATGGTTATTCCCCTTTGTTAGATAATCGACCTTACATTCGTATGAAAGTGTTGATGTATTTAAGAAAAAATAATACTCTCATGTAATTGCTATTTTACTATTTTGTGTCTTTCTATTACTTAGTCGACTACCATTTGCTAGAGTTACTCCCCTTTTAGTGGATGTTGTGGATTCGTTTTCGATTTGTTTTGTTTTAGAATTATTGATGTAAACTGTCCATAGAACCATTTCATTTAAAAAATCAGATAAATGACAACACAAGCCACGCTTCTATGGTGAAACAAAAGTATCACTTTGTCCGTTACAGAAGAATCAGATTTTTTTGCATAGATCTGAATTTCTGTGATTTCGTGAGTATTCTTAATCCACGGGTTTTCAGTCCACGATTTGTTAAGATTAGTATAGATCGATAAATTAAGATATAGGTAGACATGAAATCAATTGTCAACGAAAGAAAAAAAAATAAAAAAAAACCCACTAAACTTAATACTACTGTCACAACGGCTTTCTAGAACTCGTCGGTGATACTAGGGTCCTATATTGTGAATATCATCGAACTGAAAGATGTTTATTGAAAGCATTTGATGTGCTAACCATCTTAGTCCCCATTTGTTAAAATGATTGTTAGAGATAACCACTGGTTAGTGAAATTTGCAGACGTAATGTGTAGTATAGTTGTAGGTATGTTGATACAGCTCAGTTTTATATATTTTGAGTGTTAACTTTGCATTTACCACTCCTCTTTTTATTCGGTGGCAGCAATTTGAACTTTTAATATCCACTTGTCAACTCTAACTAACTTTTGAGCAACCGGAACATCCTGGCGCCTTTGGTACATATTTCAACAGTGTAATTAAACATAGCCGGCGTGCGGTAGGTATAAGTGATTATATTATAGATTTTTGTTATGGTCATTCACTATGAAGAAATTCAAATAGATCTTTTGCAGGAATATGCTTGAAAAAAATGGGAACCCTTGTCTTACTGCAGTAGGCAGTAAATCTTTGTTTATAATCTATGGTTCTTGTCCTGTTTTTGTATCACTTGTGTGTTCATCCTGATCCAGCTTGGTAAGTTTTGATGGTTTTTTTTTAACTATTTGGTAATATCATATTATATTGGATCTTATTTCTCATTCTTAAGCGTTTATGTTCAATGTTTAAAGATAGATTTCCTTTATTTAATATTTTTCATTACGAATTCGACAGAAAAAATCTGCAGTTACATTTCATAATTTAAATTTATAATTTGTAGTCGTGACTCGAATATTATTTCATATTCATTCAGGTAGATTCTAAGGATAGATTTTGTTTCCAATTTTAATTCAGAATTTATTGTACCGTCAAGGGTATTTAAAAATATTCGTATCATATCGTCTTCCACAGGTGAATTTTGTCATCCATGCACTTCGATACAAAAGAACATAAAAGACGTTTTTCCTCTCGTTTCCACACGGAGCATTGCGGTTGCTTTCGACCAACCACAAGCATTGTTACAGTCATGGCAATTTTTAGTGAAAACATGAGAAAACAATAGAGTGTATGTTATTATGCAAAAGACTTTTATTGATTAAATGTATGTTTATATACATATGGGTTGAGTACATGTTAATATCGATTAAAAATAGATAAATGATTAGGAAAAGATCAATATAGTTTAAAATTTCATATTTTTTTTCGTACTTTATCCAGACAATGGTTCCACAGGTTTTCAAAGTATGTTTTCATCAAACATGCAAGTATGCCTTGTAGGTGTAGATACAGCCACAGTTTCGGTTGAAAATGCACACAAAACTTAGGTTCCAAATTTCCACTTGTGTCGATTAGTTGGAAGTCAAAGAAGTGCTACTGAAACACCTAAATCCGGCCGTTTGAGTCCTAGAAGTGACCAGCAATAATGAATATGTACACTAGGTCCTGCCATTGTCATTGTGACCTCGTGTGTCGTCTGCTCCTGTCGTCTGTTCCGCCTGCGGCAAGGCGTACTAATAGCTTCGCCCTGTTAAGAAGAAAGACAGAGATTGATGGTCAACCAGAGAACTTCTAGATTTACAAAGTGTACCAACCATCTCTAGTCTATACAGCGATCGTTTACAACCCATAAATACGAATGTCCGTTTCCTTTGTTTTTGGTAATTTTAAACTGTTAAATTGTAGAATAGTGCTTTGACCTTGATTTATAATGTATATCTTAACATGGATATCATTATATGGATATCTTTACAGTATATTGATAAACAGTGATTATTGAGATGTATTGTAATGATATATTGTTAAGATATTTATCTTACCCTTGGAATATCCCTTGGAGTACCCCTTGCTGTAGCCCTTGTAACTAGGTCTATTGGCACCGAAACCAAGACTGCCCCTTGTCATGGTCCTTTGGGGATACGCTGGGACCCCCAAACTTCCCATCCCAATTCCTCCAATTCCCTTCATGGGACGACGGATACCACCGAACCCAAGGGATCTGGACTGGTATGGAAATCCCTTTGAGTATCGCATTCTTGGCATCCCAGCGATTCCTGTTTTTTAAAAGAAGAGTACAAATCGTTCATCTATTGCTCCAAAATCAATAATTTATTGATCAACAATTTTTTTGTAAATAATTAATTCATTTCAAAATGTTGTTACTAAGAACAACGAAAAAGGATTTGATGCAATTTTCAAAAAATATAATTACACTTCTTTGGTCATTTCAACAAAATTATTTGAATATTATTATTAACAAAATAAAAAAAATGAAATAAAAATAATTACCTCTGTTGAATGTTGGCATAATTCGTGGTTGATACTGGATACGTGGCTGAACTCGGGGAAGAACTCGCTGTCTGATTACAGGCCTGTAGCCCTTGCTGTAACCCTTGCTGTAACCCTTGCTGTAACCTTTGCTGTTACCATCAAATCCCCTGTTTATGCCTCCAACTCCGAATCCGCGCACTCCACTGCCAATTACTCCGCTACTTCCGGTATTGACTACAATTGAAAAAAAAGAATTATTTAAAATGTCGTTTTCATTTTATATCTCATACGTTTCTTTTCGGTAACAGATTCCTCAAAACATGGTGTTAAATGACTTGAAAATGTGTCCCTACCTTTGTTTCGAATATATGATTATCACTAACACTTCTTTTGATATCATTTTAATTGATTAAACCAAGCTTGGTTACTCTGAACTAACTGGGTTATTAGAGATTGTTTTGAGACTGTTTCATATACAATCGTTATAAAGAAACGGTGAATACTGTTATTAGCTGAATATTTGACATAAGACTTACATCCTCCAATCATGCCATCGCCGCGGTCGTAACCATCGTAATAGGGTCCGACTTGTCCTCCACCAATTAAACCAGCTCCGCGGCCACCACCAAAGCCTCCGAAACCACCTGATCCAATTAAGCCTCCATTATCATCGAAACTGCCTCCGATTGCACCAACTCCATGGCCACTCCCGATACCTCCGAAATCATCAAAGCCATTGTCTCGGAACCCACCAAATCCAGCAACGCCGCCACCGATCATTCTGCCCCCGCCAAAGCCGCCCCCTACGCCCCCGTGGCCGAATCCTGCACCGGTACCGCCAATGCCGCCCCCTACGCCCCCGTGGCCGAATCCTGCACCGATACCACCAATGCCGCCCCCAATGAAGCCATTACCAAAGTCATCGTTCATGCCGAAATGATCGATGCCATCGCTGAAGCCACCGATTCCACCGCCAATGAAACCATTGTCGTCTGAAAGTTGAATGTGTCCATTATTTTTTAACAATACACAATACAGTCTAAATACTGAGTATCCCTGAATACTTGGGATTGACCTTCATAGAAACATTTATGATTTTTGTCTGAAAAAATTCCAAATGAAGTAGACAGTGATCACGAGATATATCACATATACTAGGACTTCAATTATCCTGGTATGCTCAGTTCTAATAATTTATACTGATTCAGAGTGATTAATAACCAAAATTGTAACAGCGAATTAAGTGTTAGAAAAACGGTTTCAAATAAGTATTATTATTTTTATAAGATTGTCCTTTTTGCACAATATGAAAAATAATCACGAGACGAAAACAAGCTAAACTGGACTGTTGGAACGACAATGATCACTTATAAATAGTATGTATCTATGTATAAAAAACAGTCAAATTGAATAGCAAGAAAGAAGTATCACTATATCCGTACACCGGAAACATACAGTAGATGAAAAGGGCAATATCAGTATTAGATATTGTAGGTTAAACGAGAGTAATACATGGTTCGGTTTTACGAAACTACCCCCGCTTCCCATGAATCAGAAATAGTTTTGAGATAAACAACGAGACCTTTGTCAACTATTCCATTGGCTTTGTCTAACGCCGTTCTTACCGAAACTATCATTTCCACAGGCAGCGGCCAATAACGTGGTCAAAATTAATAGCGAAGTCTTCATGTCTGCTTTAGATGGTGATACTCTGAAAAAATAACAGTATTATACAAAACAGATATATTGTATACCAGAAATACAGAAACATAGAGAAATACACAGTATATATATATATATATACGTGCGCCCTAAATTAATGTATGAATTAGAAAATATTTCTCAACATTCTCCACTTAGCTTAAAATATCTTATTTCCAGCATTAACTGTTTACAAGAACACTTGATACGAAGAAGAAAAGCGAAAATCTTGTTTTTATTAACACCCCCCCCCTCTACTTAATATCAATGCTAGACTTCATTTGTACATATACTAGTGGAAAGTAATCATTTAAACAATGTTGGTATCATATTTTAGAATCAGTTGGAATTATTCAAATAAAACATTACCTTTATGCTGTTCAGTGATGATTTCTTTCTCCGTGAACAGTAGATCTTTAGTAAGTTCCACTTGTTCTGGTAACCCGAGAGTACGGCTTTGTCCTAAACTTTTCCTGTATTTATACCCTCCCTAACTTCGCCTTGGACGATTAATTAATGCTAATACCATATTAACGGCCATTTATTCGAAAAACGCAAAAAACAAAATCGTGTTAACAAGATCATATCATGACGTCAAGGTGTTCCGGAAAATGGACAAAGCGAGTTAGGTAAACTATTAGTCGTGTTTACCTTGTTCCGGTGCACCGTTAATCTGATAATTTTATGACAAGGTACATGATGAACAACAACTTGTACTTAAGTAAGCCTGATTCCATTCGTCGGTCAGTGGGCTAACGTGACTTTACGTGTCAAATTAACTATAGAACTACACGCTAATGCCTATCAAAGTCTCGGTTCAAATGGACATCATTAAACATATATTTGTGAAGGATTTCACTACGATCGTTTCAGTTGAAAATGATTTAAACTAACTTTTTAAACACACTTTTTACATTCTACACGCTAAATGCCAAGTCTATAAACTACGTTGCAAGTTTTAAGCATGTAAATATTGCAGTTATCATCAGTGCAATTATGTGCAATGATATTAAACTTAGTGACATCAGCAATGTTTTCGATATGGTCTGGCATAAAGGGTTCATTTCTAAATTGGTAAGTTAGGAATCAGTGATTATTTATTTAATTTGCATAATGATTATCTTTAAAACGGATTGGTAAAGTTTCTATGTATGGAAATGTTATGGTTGGTGTACTTCAAGGTTCTATTCTTTGGCTGCTAAAGTCTGAATTTATAGTTCTAAATGTTAGTTTAACCAATCAAGATTTCTCTGTAAAACTATTTGTGGATGACACTCAAAATACACTATAGTCAATAATCCAATGCAGGCAAAATATTACATTTTCCATAATCTTACTAAAATTCAAGGTTGAGCCGATAAATGTTTAGTCATTTAATTCCAATTATTAATTCAAATAGTTTTTAATGTCAACTGAAGGCATAGGATAAGTCACAATTTATGATAATCTATCATCACTTTCTCCCAACAGATAAATATATCATATGTATTACAATAATAAATGACAGCATGAATGAAGAATGTAATCCCAGCAAATCACTAAGTATTTTTTAATCAGCTGTACATGTAGTATAATTGCTAGTAATCCCGACTCTCTCCAATGAATAAAATACCTTAATCTTTGATGCTTCTCTTCACAATTATTTTGGTCAGTGTTCTTTTTCAAACTTTTCTTGGAATATTCATAAATGTTTTAAAGTTAATTTTTAAAAAATCGCTTATCAGTTTTGAGAAAAATAATCTGAATTTTCTGTAGACATATTCTCTTTATTCCGTGTACACACTCGTATCAATTATTTTATTCGTTATAAGATGATGGAAATATACTCTGGTACAGTATATACAGTGACATGACAAAAATATTCAGGAAATCGTGAACGCACAAAACCGTGAAGCTTCCAAAATTATCATTGGTTGCACTATATTAGACAGATTTTCTCTTCTGTACATAGCCAAAGGATTGGAAAAAAATTGTAGAAAAAACATAAAATTGTATAAGATTTTACAGAAACCCATTTTTGATAAAAGCATAACAAAAAAAAAAAAAAAAAAAACAAACAAACAAACAAACAAACAAAAACAAACAAACAAACAAACAAAGGGACCTAAAAAAAACAAAAAACCCAAAACAGCATAGGGAAGCCGAAAAAGTCTTAGATTAAGACTAAAGCGAAGACTGTACAAAATTTGCGTTTATGTTCCTAATATTGGGGATAATTGACTTTTTATGTTTTTCAGTTTTTAATCTGTACAGCACCAACTACACAATGGTCCTGTTTTTATTACATATGCGTGATGCTGGTTGTCGCTGTTGGGGAGTAAACAGCTTAATGATGATGTAAAATCAGAAATATCTGTAGATGACCAAAATGTTATTCTTGAAATTCGTAAGATGTTTTATATAACGTACCACAATTATATATTTATATCGCCAAGTTTATATATAGATTTCGTTTAGGTGAATTACTCTACAGTCGGAGTCATATTTAGTTTTGTTCTGCTCTGTGATCCAACAAAATTTTAGAATCAGTGCCACTTTCCTTTCATTGTGCTTAAAACTGAACGTAAAACAATAGGTACCAAGAAAAACCGACACATACTTTCGAAATTTGCGAAAAGGACCCTACGTTTCTTCCAAGAAATAATGGTAAAAGCCCTTTTATTCAAAATTCTAGAAGAGATTTTCATCTTTTCGATGGCACAGTCATAAAGTTGATTTGCACATCTGCGGAGAGGGGGAAATCTGCATACAGAGATTGATCTCCAGAGCTCTACGCAAGGGGTAGCAATAAGAGATTTATAGGGGAAACGACACTTACTCAAAACAGAAAAATGAACAGATTTTCTTGACAGTACAAAATTATATCAGTCTTAGTAAACGTTTTAGCTAATATTCTTGTACCTATTGTTCTATTTATCAAACTGTACACCATGTTACATAGATTAGAAAGTGGCTATAAAAGGTAATACTTTTTTACAGACCAGTAAGTTAAGGTGTTACTACTTATGTTAGAAACTGCCTTTTTAAAAATTCTATTCTCCACATGTGAGTTTGTTTATAAATGTTATTGTTATGTGTATTTCTTTTTCATTCAATGTTGATGTTAGGTGTTCCAGTCCCGAAGATTTATATTTGTACATGGGAAAGGAATTAATGTAAACTTTAAGCTTGTTTTCCCATTCCATAAAATTATCTATATATGTCAAATTGCTGATTATTGAATAAGATGTTGTTTTGATTTTCTTTGTTTTGTTTGTTTGCTTGCTTTTTCATTTATCTTATTATTTTTTTGTCTGTGTTTTCGTTTTTGTTTTGTTTATGTTTCTTTTTTTTTGTTTGTTTTTTTCGATCGATTCATTTATTTTATTCATTTATTTACATTTGTATTTGTTTTGGGTTTTTGTTTTTTCAATTGACGAGTGGCTTTTTGTCATTAAAATGAATGGGTATCGTGGAGAAGGAATAAATTAAGTGTGAACAAAAATCGTAATATCACCTGTATGCATTTATACTAATATCATTAATTAATTGACTTATCAAATACACAGACAATATTTCGTCCGGTGGCTATGTTTGATGAAAAGTGCGTTTTCATGATCTGTGTCCGGCTCATTATCATGACATCTATGTAAATCGCATAAATACACGTGTTAACGACACAGTACATATGTTACCTGTATATGGCATCGGAGTAAATACAGGTAAATATGTCATATATTTGTGTCAAATGTCAATCATATGGATTTACTAGTACCGGAAGCGATGTCGGAACAATAATTCCGGAAGAATGACAAATTCTATTTTTTCATTCATTGCAAGTGGAGTTGTGCGTTGGGTTAGGAAGGAATATACGAAAGTTTGTATAGATATAAATGTAGGTATAATATACGTAAAGTCGTAGTAACCTTATAACGATAATGTGAAAATTTTATTTACGTAAACTTGTGAAATGAACGCAATTTACAGAAATATTTCAATTTCAAGATGAGTGGTTTGTATGTTTGAATATGCCACATTTAATCTGTTATTAATTACTTGATTGAAGAAGTGTTCAAATTCATAAAGTTTTGTTTTGTTTTGTTTTTTTTTTTCAAAATAGGACATCAAGAATTTTTCTTCCTCTTCAGTACTAATTCTCAATTAATCAATTTTTAATCGGTGGAAAATCTCTCCTACCATTGTTGTAATTTGACTGTCAAATGCTGCCCTGATATATTCAGATTCAGGGGTCCGTTTTACTCAATTAATTATTTGACGGGCTTAATGCCCATTTGCCGTAAAATGTTACAGTGTCATCTGGGTATTAAGATAAAGCATGGAATATCGAGTTACCGAGTAAGACAATGTGAGCCAAAAGAGGATGGAGATAGGGTTGGGTTGAGGGTGTACTATTTCCCAGAGGTGAGGAACCAATAACTTTGTAAATTAATCTTGCAAAATGTGTGAAATGATGTCGGTTGCTTATTGATGTCGACTGAGGGTAGAATTCACTGAATTAGATTCACAACCATAACAGCATAATATCCTCCATCCCAAAGGGAAACCGATCACGTTCATTGTGTATGTTAACTGTTTATCGAGTCAAAGAGTGTGGAATGGGGCACAGAGGAGGAGAATCAAGACCTCTGAGTCTCAGTATGTATCAATGAATGGGAGGATCAATGACAATACACACTGATCTAGTCTCCCTGGGTGTCTTGTGGTATTTAGTCTGTAGTTACAATTCATCCTTTATATTATAACGGACTAACCACGAGGATGTGCGCACACCCAAGGGGAACACAAATTAGTCCTCATATTTACAATCTCTTGTGGTCTAGACCATCTAATGTTAATTTATACCTGAACGTTATCGCTTCTTTTATTGCGTTTGTTCTCATCTGACGAGGTGGAGAAGAAATATGAAATAAAACATACTTATTTACTGTGTTACTGTTCCTTAGTCAACTTGACTTACAAGGGTCAAGATTTAGGCATAGGAATATTAA